TTTTAAAAGGAAGTACATAATGTAAAACAGTGGTGAGTCCGGCAGGTTAAATCATTCCAGGCGGCAGTAATGTATCTCTAACTTGTCAAAAATAATATAGAATTGGAGTTCTAGGACGAAATGGAGGACGAAATTAAGGGTGCTCACAGCAACCTAGCAGGTGTGGGTTGGCACATTTAGGCTGTTCAAGTACAAATTACAAACTGCACTTGTGGTCAAAACTGCTGAGGTTTGGGTATTGACATTTGTTTTAGTTTCCTGAGAAATTGCTGCACTTTCTAACGTGCAACAAAAATAGATGGAGCTCCTGGATATTACTGGGAGTGTCACGGGAATATGGTATAGAGTTTGAGAAAGTTTCTAGTTGCTAGTCTATTTGGGAAAAAAACTTAAGTGTTTGAGAGAACAATTCGAGGTATATTGCTGAGTACAGTCTGAATTATGAGCATGTACACCATAGGTTAAAAGTAGTTGGGACGTCCTCCTGACGTGAAAGGCGCTCTATAAATGGAATCTTGTTGTTGTTGTTGTTGTAGTTTGTGCATTTTTACCAACGTGAAAGGTGCTATATAAATATAATTTTGTTGTTGTTGTTTCGCCCACAAAATATATAGTCAATTCACCTTACGGTATATTCTATGAAGTGCTTTGAGACGTCTCGAAGACGTGAAAAGCGCTATATCAATTGCAAAGATTATTATTGTTGTTTTTTTTGTTTCAATAGTTGTGAGCTAGAGATGTGGGTTTGATTCATGACAGGGTGAAATGTTGGGCAGGTTTCCGTGCTCCACACGTCTCTGTTTACCGAGCAGTAAGTAGGAACCTGGTTGTTAGTCGATTGGCAGATCACTTTTCCAGGGATAATAATCACTTCAAAAAATTGAACAAGGCTGGGACAAGGCTGTGTGTAATTGGTTGCTGCGTTTCGTCCACAAAACATAGTCAACTCACTTTACTGTATATTTTATGAAGCACTTTGAGACATCTAGAAGACATGCTAAGTTGCTGTATCAAATGCAAGGATTATTATCCATCCACATGCCAACATCATTGCTTTAGTGTTTCACCCCCTGTGCTGATGGAATCCAGCACCATTCACACAGCAATAAGAGCTGAGATTTCGTGTTTGTGGTTCAAAGTGGGGCTGCTCTCCATTTAAAAGTAATTGTAAAGAGGGGATGATTACAAAAGAAGTATTCACATCTCAGCTCTTACCCACAGCTCTGTGGGTAGTGAGCCATATGGCTAGGGGATGCCCAGATTTGATTGCAATGAGGTTAAAAACATTTTTGAACTCGATTGAGTTTAAATACTCCTGCTAAATGGTTGGTTAGTGATACAACAATAAGGGAAAGGATTAATTTTTTTTTAGAATATCAACAGAGTTGTAATCTGTAAATCAATCCTTTTGTCATTATGTAGCTTTCCTGATTGTTATATTCAACGAAAGTCATCGTGTTTGCACCGAACACCAGATTCAGAGTCATTGCAATGACTCATTCCTGACACTTGTCACACTCTAACCCAGTTTTCTGTGGTCATTGTGGCATTTAGTATGTTTGGTGCCCCATTTGGTCAGTGGTAATGAGATGCCACCAGTGGCATGGTTTCTAACTAGAGGAGGAGGAGGAGGTGTTAAATATCAAGCGTTTCAGCTATACTGGCATTGCCCTTGTCTACCACCGTCTGAAAGCCTCCGGAACCTACGGTCATAGGGTATGCACGCTAATCTGTGCCCTAGAGTGAGTGGGAGCACTTTGTGCGTGTACACGTATGCACTTCTAAGGGTAGTGCAATAAAGAATGTTAAACAGCTCTAATTATTGGCTGCAGCATTTCTCCCACAAAATATAAAGTCAATTCGCTTTACACTATATCCTGTGAAGAGCTTTGAGATGTCTCGAATATGTGATGAGGCACTATATCAAATAGCAAGGATTATTATTATACTACTGTTAAATTATACAGTTGATTCACTTTAGAGTTGTATCCTGTGAAGCACTTTGAGACGCCTAGAAGACACGCTAAGTCTCTGTATCAAATGCAAGGATTATTATTATCATTATTTTTATCCATCCACATGCAAACATGTTTCACCCCCTGTGCTGATGGAATCCAGCGCCGTTCACACAGCAATAACAGCCGAGGTTTTGTGTTTGTGGTTCAAAGTGGGGCTGCTCTCCATTTAAAAGTAATTGTAAAGAGGGGATGATTACAATAAAAGTATTTGCATCTTAGCTCTACCCACAGCTCTGTGGATAGCAAGCCATACGTCCAAGGAAATCCCAGATTTGATTGCCATGAGGTAAAAGCATGTTTGAACTCGATTGACATTAAATACTCCTGAAGCTAAATGGTTGGTTAGTGATACAAAAATATTTTGTACACTCTTTTACCTTGTGATACACATAAGCCAGAAGTTACTCTTCCTCTCACTCAGCATGTGATGGTTTCTTAGTTGTGTTTAGTTGTGCACCTCCCTACTTCTCTGTCCTGCTTACATCCCCAACCAACAACCCACCGCTTCCGCTTGACTGGCCTTCTGCATGTTCCCCGTGCTCTTTATTCCACCATTAGTGGCTGCGCTTTCAGCCACTCCACCTCCAAACTCTGGGACACACTCCTTCTATCCCTCCGTTTTGTCCCTTCCTTCCTCATCTTGAGGTCGTGCCTGAAGACCTTCAGATTCAACTGAGCTACGATCATCTTCCCCTCCTCCTGGTTCAGCATTCTGCTCCTCCACTGTCAAGCACTCTGGGTCACTACACTGCGAGAGGTGCGCTGTGTAATTGCTTGTTGTTGTTGCACAATAGCAAAGTTATTAGCATAGAGTATTCGGAATGTATGCAATCTGGTTTCTTATTTGCCTTCAGAGTCCTGTGTGTAGGGTTTGGTTTGTTGGCTGGTTGCACCACCTGCCTGTCATTCTGTGAACATTCTAACATTAAAAGTTGTTTGGATCAGGCTGAGTTAATTGACATCACTATACTTCTGTAAATCAATTTCTTTCAACACATGAATTATTTATTTCTGCATTAAATACAGTCACACCGCTTCACAGTATATCCCGTGAAACACTTTGTCATGTCTACGTCGCGTTATATCAAATGCAAGTATTATTATTATTATTCTCAAAAGCAGAATCTGACAGCATTCTGTGATGGGACCAAAAACAACAACAAAATTACATTTGTATAGCGCCTTTCATGTTGGGAGGACTTCCCAAGGCGCTGGGCAGTCAGTGTTTCGGATCCGAGCTGGGGGTCGGGATTGGAGAGGGTGGAGTGGGCAGGATGGTAGGGGGTTAGGAGATCGCAGAGGTAGGGGGGAAGAAAGGCCATGGAGGGCTTTCAGGGTGAAGGACCATGAACTTGAACTCTATCCTCTGAGTGATGTGAAGCCAGAGTGGAGTCGGGCGAGGATGGGGGTGATAGGGTCACGGAGCTTGGTGTGGGAGCAGACACAGGTTGCAGAGATCTGGATCATCTGCAGCCTAAGGAGGGTGGAGTTGGGGAGGCTGACAAGCAAGGAGTTTGCATAGTTGAGCCTCGATGTTATGAATACGTGTATGAGGGTTTCGGCAGCCTGCGGTGTGAGACAGTGGCGGAGCCGGGCGATGTTGCGGAGGTGGTGGAAAGCAGAGCAGGTCATGGTACCGATGTAGGGTAGAAAGGATAGTTGAGGGTCAAACAAGACGCCAAGGTTCCTGACTGGCTTAGTAATGTGGAGTGTGCAACCATGGATGGTGATGCTGTCAGCGCTAAGGGACGCCGCACGAGACAGTACCGGGGCTAAAGGAGAAAACGTTAGTGGAGATGAAGTGGAGGCGGTGTGAGAGGTACAATCTGAATCATTCAAGGACAGTCCGTGAAGGTTGAGATGAGAGGAGAGCCGATGGAGAGGATAGAGTGATCAATATTGTCGAAGGCAGCAGAGGGAACCCTGGTCGCAGATGGACCGAATTTCATTTGTCACTTTGACCAGGGATGTTTCTGTGCGGTGGGCAGCACGGAAACCCGATTGAAGGGGTTCGTGAAGGGAGTGGCGGGAGAGGTAGGAGCGAAGCTGGGAAGCAATGACTCGTGCAGGACCTTGGAGAGGAAAGGGAGGTTGGAGATGGAGCGGTAATTTGAGAGCAGGGTTGGGTCTAGGAAGGGCTTTTTAAGGATAGAAGTGATGAAGGACGTTTTTAAAGGGGTGGGAATGGTAACAGTGGACAGGGAGAGGTTTATGATGTCTGTGAGTAGAGGGGCAAGGGGTGGAACTGCATTAAAAAGAAGAGATCCTACAATGTTTAACATATCCAAAGGGAAGGGTTTGATGCAACTTCACCACAACACTTGTGGAGACTTGTGGAGTCCTGTAGCTCAGTGGTTAGAGCATTCCCCTCACAAGCGAGAGACCTGGGCTTGATTCCCGGCAGGGCAAAATGTTGGGCAAGTTTCCTTACTTCACACCTCTGTTTGCCAAGCAGTAAATAGGAACCCGATTGTTAGTCGATTCGCGGATTGCTTTTCCTGTGGTAATAATTTTTAAAAAAAGGTCACTTCAATCCACGACTATTGTGGGACGCTGCTGTGTGCATTTGGCTGCCGCGTTTCACCCACAAAATATACAGTCAATTCACTTTGCAGTATGTTCTATGAAGGACTTTGAGACATCTCAAAGACGTGATAAGCTACTATACTATACTTCGTGGAGTCCTGTAGCTCAGTGGTTAGAGCACTTGCTTTGCAAGCGAGAGACCTGAGTTCAATCCCAGGTAGGGCGAAACCTTGGGCAAGTTTCCTTACTCCGCACGCCTAATAATAATAATCCCCCCAAAAACCCAAAACAGTAATAAATTGGTCATTTTCTATCTACGACTGTTTGTGGGACATTGCTGTGCGCAATTGGCTGCCGCGTTCGCCCACAAATATACAGTCAATTCACTTTACAGTGTGTTCTGTGAAGCGCTTTGGGACGTCCTCCCAACGTGAAAAGCGCTATATCAAATGCAAGGATTATTATTATTATTATTATTTTTATATCAAATGCAAAGATTATGATTAACACAAAAATGTAAGCAGCCAAACTGTCAGCAAGCCATATTTTCTTCCTGGTGTATATAACTTTGCTGTTATTGATAAAATCTCCGGTTGTGATTACTCTTCTATGCAGCTATGGAGTAACTTAAACCGATGGAGTGATAACATATAGACTGTAATTGGGATTTGAAGGTCTCACTTCATATGCTCCTGTTCTGTAGATCTTGGAAAAGTAATACACCATTCCTAACAATAATAACAATAAAGCCACTACCAAGAAAAGGCTTATTGCTAGAAGATGTATTACTTGAATTCCTGGAAAAAAATATAAACAAACATTACCCAAGCATTCATTAATTTCCTAACCATTCATACTTATTGAGAAGATTTTTTCAAAAGCATTCTGTTAAGGAGTAATCTCCTCCCCGACAAGCCCCCCATGAAAATGGAAGAAAACAGACAGCAGAATTGCCACATTACTGCTTCTAAAATTCACATTACTCAATCAGGTTTTGTTTAAACTAACCGTTGACACTGATTTCCACTTTCTGCACATCGGTTCCATGGTGATTATTAGCTCTACATTTATAAATTCCGCTGTTTCCTGAATTTGCGTAAGAAATAAAGAGAATTCCAGAGGGATATTCTTTAACATTTGTGCTCTGATGAGGGTATTCCCAGCTCAAATTAGCTGATGGATTTGCTTCAGAGAAGCAGGTTAATGTAACGTTGTCACCATTATTGATTTGTATCGGAGACTCTGGTGTCCTTTTGGTTTTATTGATTGATATGGTCGTGTTCCGAGGCTTATCTGCAAAACAAAACATGCTTTGAAAATAGGAAGATAAAAATAAGAAAATAATCTTCATCTCAATCATCTCCTCAGTTTTTAAATATCCTGAAATCTGTTACTTACACATGATGGTTACATTCAGAGAATAGTTTGTGGATCCATATTTATTGGTGGCCGTGCAGGTGTACAGACCAGCATCATCCATGTGGACTGACTGGATATGAAGCGTCCTTTCCCGGCTCAGATGTTTCCCATCTTTGGTCCAGGTTAGCCGGGGAGCTGGGCTTCCTGTCACATCACAACTTACAGTCTGTGGTTTCCCTTCAACCCAGTCTTCGCTTGCTTTATTGATATCTACTGTTGGAGCATCTGTAAGTTTATTAAAATAAAATATTAAGGTTTACAGAACGAAACGTTCAAGGTTTTACAGACCAGAAGCGACAGATACACAGCTGGAGAAATGGTGAATTGTCTTTTCTCAGAAGCACTGTTGTAGCTCTATGTCCCGAGCTTATCCGCATAACAAAACAGGCTTTGAAAATAGGAAGATGAAAATAATCTTCATCTCACTTCATCAAAGGAAACGTTTTCTCTTCATCTCCTCAGTTTTTAAATAAGTTTTCTCTCTGGACCTTTGCACATGGCGCTGTGTAACAGCTGATGTCACCGTTTCCTCCCTTCCTGTCTGCCTTCCAGAGGAGAATTTCCCAACCTCAATCTCACTCAAGTTTCCAGTTGTCCTGACCGGAATAATAGGCCTTTCCCTCGTAAGAGAGAGGTGGACAGGTAAAGAAGGTGGTTTGATCTCACCCTCTCAAAATACACCTTACTGTCATGTTATATTTTGTGTCTGCTTGCTGTTATGCCCACAAAATATACAGTCAATTCATTTTACACTGTGTTCTGTGAAGCCCTTTCAGATGTCGCGAAGGTGTGATGAGGCGCTATATCAAATGCAAGGATTATTATTTATTATTCCTTTATGGTTCTCTCTGCTGCTGCACCTGAATAGCTATTTACTGAATGTGATTTCTTAAAAGAACACACGTGTAGACCTATTTTAGCTTATAGAGCAGACGATCGTGTTAAAAACCTCAAACCCTGCAATCTGTTACTTACACATGATGGTTACATTCAGAGAATAGTTTGTGGATCCATATTCATTGGTGGCCGTGCAGGTGTACAGACCAGCATCATCCATGTGGACTGACTGGATATGAAGCGTCCTTTCCCGGCTCAGATGTTTCCCATCTTTGGTCCAGGTTAGCCGGGGAGCTGGGCTTCCTGTCACATCACAACTTACAGTCTGTGGTTTCCCTTCAACCCAGTCTTCGCTTGCTTTATTGATATCTACTGTTGGAGCATCTGTAAGTTTATCAAAAAAAAGATTAAGGTTTACAGACGAGAAGAGACAGATACACAGCTGGTTCACACTAAGGAATGGCGAATTGCCTGTTCTCTGTTGAAACTCAGAAATCTAAACTCCTACAGTAGAACCCCATTATAACACAGGTTCATTTATTTAACCTTACGTTACACATGTGACCATTTAACCAATCCGTCTACATGGCGTGTGCTGTCCTTCAGCGTCTCTTGTGATAAAATTCCTTACCGTTCAAAAGAGACAGTGAAACACCTACACAGACTGCGTCCTTGGCATAAACACCCATTATAGTTCAATATAAAACTCTCAGCTTATATATACTTCACCCGCGGCTCCGAGCACACTTTATGACTAAAGAGGAACTTACAGTTGACCTGCAGTGTTACTGAGGAGGTTTGTATCTGCATGGTGTTATTAGACTCCAGGACTATTTCTGCAACGCAGGTGTAGTTCTGGCCATCGTCTGATTTATTTGCAGTGATATTGAGAACGTTCCTCAATCTATTATCGTCGTCTGGCAAACCAGGAGCGTTTGTGAATGCTGTATGAAGAATCTCGTCCCCTTTCAGCCATTTGAGGATCAGTCTGTCTTTAGGGTAGACTCTGGGGCCAGTGCACTCCAGACTGTATTGCTTCTTCTCTTGCAGTGCTCCAGGAGGTTGAGTGATGTTTAATTCACGGTCTAGAAGAGAAATCCAGTTCCCATTTTATCACTCAAACAACCTTTGAGACATCTCAAAGCGCTTAACCCAATATACTGTGAAGTGAATTGATTGTATATTTTGTGGGCTAAATGCATCAACGAATTGTGCCCAACAGTGTCTCTCAAACAGTTGTAGATTGAAGTGACCAATTTATTATTATTTTGTTTTGAATTATTTTGTTACCCCTGGAAGAGCAATCTGCCAATTGACTAACAACCGGGTTCCTGTTTATCGAGTTCTGTGAAGTAAGGAAACTTGCCTAAAGTTTTGCCTGAATCAAACCCAGGGCTTATGCTTTCGAGGCGGGTGCTCTAACTACTGAGTTATATAAACATTCAAGTGGAAACGAGATAGATATCTAAAAAAACAGCAACTTGAACGAGTATTGGAAAAAGACAAGTCAATGGGACTGAATAAATTACTACTCTTTGAAGGAGCTTTTCTGAGTCACGGAATAATCCTCAAAGGCAAAGGTCTAGAAGTATTTTTGATATCTATATCTTTCCTGTAGCTGTAGAATGACAAAAATACATTAGTAAATATACTTCTCCCTGAAGCAAGGATCGTGCATTTTCCCTGTTCCGTGGCCAACCGCCAGACTGCTCTACACCACCACTTTCTGAATCTGTACACTCTGATATAGTTAATTGTTTCCCGCAGTAAAATAGCTTTTTACAACAAGATGTTTCACTTACTGTACACTGGGACACTGATTTCCTTCTTCTCTCTCGTTCTGTTGTATTGCACATCACGTAGCATGGGTACTTTAGGTCCCATTTCAGGACATTTGAATAAGAGTACTGTTGCCAATTTTCACCCTCTGTTATATTAGGCTTTGTCCCTCCACTTTTCCCTTCAATTGTGAATTGTGGTTCAGGACATGTTGTAGTGCAGTTCATCTCCCAAAGTTGTCCGTATTCCACAGCTTGGGGGTTTGAGAGAATCTGCACCTCAAATCCAGTCACTGTCAAAGAAACAAATCATATGAACTATTGAAAGGAAAGAGCTGGTAATTGAGATGGTCTCCATTGGCATGACTATGCCAGCTCCCTCCTTGCTGGACTTCCCAACTCTATAAGCTGCAGATATTCAGAACTCTCCAGCTCCCAGCTCTGTGAGCTGATCACCCCCATCCTCGCCCGGCTCCACTGGCTCCCCATCCCTCAAAGTTTAAGATCTTCGTCCTCACTTTTAAAGCCCTCCACAAGGGGTTATGAGGTCGCAGAGGCAGGGGGCAGAAAGGCCATTGAGGGCTTGGAAGGTGAGAACCAGGAAGTAAGTTCAGCAGTCACAAATATTGACAACTTTACAGATGAGAAATAACTGTATCAATGTGAATTTACTCTCTAAAGCAGAGTGGAGGTGGCGGTGAGCAGCTTAATCTGTCAATCACTTTGAAACCAGTAACAAAACCGAGAGACCCACACACGGACAGAGAGAGAGACACACAGACAGAGAGAGAGAGACACACAGACAGAGATGGAGACACAGGCAGAGAAAGGGAGATACAGAGACACAGAGAGAGAGAGAGAGAGAGAGATAAAGACACAGATAGAGAGAGATATACAGAGACACGGACAGAGAGATACAGAGACACACAGACAGAGGGAGTTACAGAGACAAACACAGTCAGACAGTGCAAGATACAGGACACAGAGTGAAATACAGAGGCACACAGACAGAGAGAAATATACAGCAAGAACAAAATTAAATTTATAGAGCGCCTTTCATGTCGGAAAGACGTCCCATACAAAGATACAAACAGAGAGAGATACAGAGGCACAGACACAGAGAGAGATACAGACAGAGACAAAGAGATACAGAGACAGAGAGATAGAGAGAGAAATACAGAGGCACACAGACAGAGAGAGATATACAAAGATACAGACACAGAAAGATACAGAGACACAGAGAGGGATACAGAGACACACAGACAGAGAGAGATATACAAAGGTACAGAAAAAGATACACAGAAAGATAGAGTCACAGGGAGAGATACAGAGACATGGACAGAGAGAGAGATAAGGGACACACAGAGAAAGATAGTGACACAGACAGAGATTCAGAGACACCATCAGACAGAGAGAGAGTGATACAGAGAGACAGAGAGATTCAGAGACTACAGAAAACAACAACAAAATGACATTTATATAGCGCCTTTCAAGTCAGGAGGACGTCCCAAAGTGCTGAACAGTCAGGTGTCGGGGCCTGAGCATGGGGGAGGGGTGGTGTAGGGGTGCGGGAAGGCAGAGAGGTGGGAGGGAGACCAAAGGCACGGTCGAAGAGAAGGGTCTTGAGACCGGACTTGTAGGAGGCGAGGGAGGAAGCGAGGTGGAGGGACCGTGGGATAGAGTTCCAGAGTGTGGGGGCAGAGAGGCCACTGATGGTAGGGCGGGTCGGGTGGGAGACATGGAGCAGGCCGGAGCCTGATGAACGGAGGGAGCGGGCAGGTTGGTAGGGAGTCAGCAGGTCAGAGAGGTGGGAGGGGGCAATGCCATGGATGGCCTTTAAAGGTGAGAACGAGAATCTTGAACTCGATCCTCTGGGGGATGGGGAGCCAGTGGAGTCGGGTGAGGGTGGGAGTGATGGGGTCACAGAGCCTGGTGCGCGAGACTACATGAGCTGCAGAGTTTTGGATGATCTGCAGCTTGTGATGGGAAGAGTTGGGAAGGCCGATGCGGAGGGAGTTCCCGTAATCAAGTCTTGAGGTGACGAATACATGGGTTAAGGTTTCGGCAGCCTGAGGCAGTGGCGGAAGAGATACAGAGACAGATATCTCGTCACTGGCTGCATTTTTTAAAATTTGTATTAATTGTTACATTTCTAATTTTGATTGCAACTAAAATATAGTGAAACTCAGTAATATAGTTACACAATTTAAAACAATTTAAAACATGATCCTTATGGGTTGTTTCAGGAAGCAAAACATAAAAATGTTACTTATGCTGTACACAGTTGTTTCTCAAGTCAGCATCCGGCCCTCAGCAGCCAAAAGTTTAGGCCATCCTCTAATGTATAGAGAATAATATTAGAATAATTTAAACCCGCCGCTGCCTACCTGACACACTGAGGAGTAACTTGCAAAAGCAAATAAACCCAACAGGTGAATTCAGTCTGAAATCCATGGGCGACAAGGAATTCCTGATCCGCACTCGTAAAAATGCTGCACGTTCCGATGCCTCAGATCAACTTGGTTTGTGGCGGGTTCTGTGCAGGCATGCGCATTACTGAGAACCCACGCCTTTTCTGAGAAATGGAAACTGTGAATTAACGGTCGTTGTGGGGGATTTTCTAGCATTTGGAAGTAGAGGTGTCCTCTCTCTACATTAGTCCCTCAATTGCACAGGCATTATGTCCTCGGCTGGAAAAGTTTTTGTGATAAAGGATTGTTTTGTTCACAAAACATACAGTCAATTCACTTTACAGTATATTCTGTGAAGCGCTTTGAGACATCTAGAAAACGTAAAAAGGCTCTTCATCAAATGCAAGGATTATTATTATCAGCGTAACTTACCCAAGAAAGCGTCTGCTATTTCCAGAAGTTTGGTTTCCTATTTAATGCAAGAATTCCGATTATTCACATTAATTTATTTCTAACTGCCAGGCTCAGTTAGTCTCAGCCAGGCTCAATTGGTCACACTCTCGCCTCTGAGGTATCTTATTTGGAATAGAATACACACTGTAAGAAATAATAAACAAACAATTTGCTCCTTGAAAAAAACATCTTTATTCATTTCGGAGGATTTCCCTCCAATCAGGCTCACACACCTCTCTCAGCATTTGGTAGAAGTATCATGTGAGACAATATTACACTGGTCAAGTTGATGATATCGAATAGTACAGACATTTCCACTTATATAGTGTCTTTCACCTCAAATGTGAAATGCTTAGCAATGAAGTGAATGACCAATTTATCTGAAGCATTTTGAGAGAAATCCCCTTCTCTTTTCCTATACTCATGGGATGTTTAACATCCATCAAGCTGCGCAGCTTTACCTTAACTTGCCTCCATGGGCTTGTCCCCTCCTACCTCTCCGACCTGGTAAACCTTTATCAACCTGTCCGCTCTCCCGCTCAGCAGGCTCTGGCCTGCTCCATGTCCCCCGGACGGCCCACCCCAAATCGGACTGAGAGTTCAAAGATCCAACCAGAGTCTTGAACGCAGAGGTAAGTGTGCTGTCCACTGAGCCAAACTGATATCTGTTCCTACCCTCCAAAGGAACCTGAAATATTTTGATGTGATAAGGACAAGGTGAAATTCATGAATGAGATTAGGTTTTGAAAATTACCCACCCAAATAATACTGCAATCATATTTTTGCGAGCATATTATTAGTAAGTGGACCTCAAGCGATGAAGAAATTAAAAAGGCTTGTAACCGACACTGATAGTCAATTTAGCATTTTATAAAATATAATTACATGTGTTTGAGAACTACAATTGTGATCCAGCGCTGATGAAATTGTCACTTCATGTTTGCCAGAAGGTAACACAATTTCTACTTACAACCGTTAATGAATGAAGTACTACAGTATATACTCATTTAAAAACACTGTCTCAATAATGGTGACACTTGTAAAAGTACAGTATATGTTACAGTTTGGGCGTCATAACCTTAATCTTTAAACAAATACTGGGAAAATGGAAGCAATTCAAAGGTTCCCTTGAAAAAGTGTAGTACTTGCGGGACATGTGGTTCTGACAGTGAGGACAATGTGCCGTAGCTGCAGTCACCCACGATCAGCAGTAAAATTCTTTAGCAAAAGCTTTGATATTTTTCATGTTTTCTCCAGAATTGTTGACATTTAATTCAGGTTTTGTCATTCCTTGTCGCTTATGGTGTGGAGTCGTTTAAAGAACATAAAGGGATATCTTCTTGATGTGAGATTCCATTTGGGATCTGTGAGTTGTTGTTGGGCTTTGCATTTTGCAGGATGTATTTTCCTTGTCTCATAGAGATGAAACGCACATAGAGAATGATTCCAATTATAATGAGCCCTGCTGCGAAAAATGCTACAATTCCTGCAATAATACCACACCATGTCATATCTGGAGGAAGAAAAGGAAAATATTTTTTAATATTCCAATATTTTTACATGGAATGATTTATGTAATTGTAGCCATTAACCGCATATCATAAGAAGCATTTGTTACCTCCTAAATATGAGAAATATAATTTATTCCATGTATGTAAGTCAACAGTCCAACAAAACTACTTTTTGCAAGACACTGGCTGCTCTCAATTTGTCACCGTTTTCTGTATATTTCCCCTGCTGATTAATATTAGCCAATGGATTCAGAACCATTCCTTCATCAACAAATACTAAGGATAACCCAGTCAATCATTCCACTGTCTACAAGTGCAATAATAATAATAATAATAATAATAATAAACAATAGAGCATGACAGCAATTAGAGAGTTTCCAAAATTAGCCAAACCAGCGGTGCACAAGGACAGGGAAGGCACAGAGTGATTTGCTAATTCAAGGCTGAGGAGAAATCAGTCCCTGAATGGACCTCACTACAGTGGTTGTCTGAGACCAATTATCTCAGTCGAGCTGACATTTTTTGGTCAACCGGGTGTTTGAGACATGTGGAACCCCATCACCAAAGAGTGAGCTGGAGTTTAACCAGATAAAACTGTACAGCTTGCAGTTGAGAGCATTGCAGGCAGGATCCACCGCTCATCCAGTGAGGAATAGCCTTGAGGGCTTTGGCTTGCAGGGTTACCAGAAGCTGTTCCCAGTGACTTGTCTGACTTCCAGGTCCTGACGCTGAGCCAGGCAGAACTTGTCTGCCACCAACAATGCTTCAGAGAACAGCAGTGCCATAGGCTCAGGACATTTTAGCTGCTGGCTCGGGAATGGCAGGAGTGCTCTTTTAAGAAGGGAAATAAAACAAGAAAATAGAAGAAACTGCCACATCGCTTCTGAAAGTTACTTAATCAGATTTTGTTGAGATTTTAAACTAACCTTTGACGCTGATTTCCACTTTCTGCACATCGGTTCCATGGTGATTATGAGCTCTACATTTATAAATTCCGCTGTTTCCTGAATTTGCGTAAGAAATAAAGAGAATTCCAGAGGGATATTCTTTAACATTTGTGCTCTGATGAGGGTATTCCCAGCTCAAATTAGCTGATGGATTTGCTTCAGAGAAGCAGGTTAATGTAACGTTATCACCATTATTGATTTGTATCGGAGACTCTGGTGTCGTTTTGGTTTTATTGATTGATATGGTCGTGTTCCGAGGCTTATCTGCAAAACAAAACATGCTTTGAAAATAGGAAGATAAAAATAAGAAAATAATCTTCATCTCAATCATCTCCTCAGTTTTTAAATATCCTGAAATCTGTTACTTACACATGATGGTTACATTCAGAGAATAGTTTGTGGATCCATATTTATTGGTGGCCGTGCAGGTGTACAGACCAGCATCATCCATGTGGACTGACTGGATATGAAGCGTCCTTTCCCGGCTCAGAGGTTTCCCATCTTTGGTCCAGGTTAGCCGGGGAGCTGGGCTTCCTGTCACATCACAACTTACAGTCTGTGGTTTCCCTTCAACCCAGTCTTCGCTTGCTTTATTGATATCTACTGTTGGAGCATCTGTAAGTTTATTAAAATAAAATATTAAGGTTTACAGAACGAAACGTTCAAGGTTTTACAGACCAGAAGCGACAGATACACAGCTGGAGAAATGGTGAATTGTCTTTTCTCAGAAGCACTGTTGTAGCTCTATGTCCCGAGCTTATCCGCATAACAAAACAGGCTTTGAAAATAGGAAGATGAAAATAATCTTCATCTCACTTCATCAAAGGAAACGTTTTCTCTTCATCTCCTCAGTTTTTAAATAAGTTTTCTCTCTGGACCTTTGCACATGGCGCTGTGTAACAGCTGATGTCACCGTTTCCTCCCTTCCTGTCTGCCTTCCAGAGGAGAATTTCCCAACCTCAATCTCACTCAAGTTTCCAGTTGTCCTGACCGGAATAATAGGCCTTTCCCTCGTAAGAGAGAGGTGGACAGGTAAAGAAGGTGGTTTGATCTCACCCTCTCAAAATACACCTTACTGTCATGTTATATTTTGTGTCTGCTTGCTGTTATGCCCACAAAATATACAGTCAATTCATTTTACACTGTGTTCTGTGAAGCCCTTTCAGATGTCGCGAAGGTGTGATGAGGCGCTATATCAAATGCAAGGATTATTATTTATTATTCCTTTATGGTTCTCTCTGCTGCTGCACCTGAATAGCTATTTACTGAATGCGATTTCTTAAAAGAACACACGTGTAGACCTATTTTAGCTTATAGAGCAGACGATCGTGTTAAAAACCTCAAACCCTGCAATCTGTTACTTACACATGATGGTTACATTCAGAGAATAGTTTGTGGATCCATATTTATTGGTGGCCGTGCAGGTGTACAGACCAGCATCATCCATGTGGACTGACTGGATATGAAGCGTCTTTTCCCGGCTCAGAGGTTTCCCATCTTTGCTCCAGGTTAGCCGGGGAGCTGGGCTTCCTGTCACATCACAACTTACAGTCTGTGGTTTCCCTTCAACCCAGTCTTCGCTTGCTTTATTGATATCTACTGTTGGAGCATCTGTAAGTTTATTAAAATAAAATATTAAGGTTTACAGAACGAAACGTTCAAGGTTTTACAGACCAGAAGCGACAGATACACAGCTGGAGAAATGGTGAATTGTCTTTTCTCAGAAGCACTGTTGTAGCTCTATGTCCCGAGCTTATCCGCATAACAAAACAGGCTTTGAAAATAGGAAGATGAAAATAATCTTCATCTCACTTCATCAAAGGAAACGTTTTCTCTTCATCTCCTCAGTTTTTAAATAAGTTTTCTCTCTGGACCTTTGCACATGGCGCTGTGTAACAGCTGATGTCACCGTTTCCTCCCTTCCTGTCTGCCTTCCAGAGGAGAATTTCCCAACCTCAATCTCACTCAAGTTTCCAGTTGTCCTGACCGGAATAATAGGCCTTTCCCTCGTAAGAGAGAGGTGGACAGGTAAAGAAGGTGGTTTGATCTCACCCTCTCAAAATACACCTTACTGTCATGTTATATTTTGTGTCTGCTTGCTGTTATGCCCACAAAATATACAGTCAATTCATTTTACACTGTGTTCTGTGAAGCCCTTTCAGATGTCGCGAAGGTGTGATGAGGCGCTATATCAAATGCAAGGATTATTATTTATTATTCCTTTATGGTTCTCTCTGCTGCTGCACCTGAATAGCTATTTACTGAATGCGATTTCTTAAAAGAACACACGTGTAGACCTATTTTAGCTTATAGAGCAGACGATCGTGTTAAAAACCTCAAACCCTGCAATCTGTTACTTACACATGATGGTTACATTCAGAGAATAGTTTGTGGATCCATATTCATTGGTGGCCGTGCAGGTGTACAGACCAGCATCATCCATGTGGACTGACTGGATATGAAGCGTCTTTTCCCGGCTCAGAGGTTTCCCATCTTTGTTCCAGGTTAGCCGGGGAGCTGGGCTTCCTGTCACATCACAACTTACAGTCTGTGGTTTCCCTTCAACCCAGTCTTCGCTTGCTTTATTGATATCTACTGTTGGAGCATCTGTAAGTTTATTAAAATAAAATATTAAGGTTTACAGAACGAAACGTTCAAGGTTTTACAGACGAGAAGAGGCAGATACACAGCTGGTACACACTAAGGAATGGTGAATTGCCTGTTCTCTGTTGAAACTCTGTCAGAAATCTAAGCTCCTACAGCAGCCCATGGTCAGTGGAACCCCATTATAACACAGGTTCATTTATTTAACCTTACGTTACACATGTGACCATTTAACCAATCCGTCTACATGGCGTGTGCTGTCCTTCAGCGTCTCTTGTGATAAAATTCCTTACCGTTCAAAAGAGACAGTGAAACACCTACACAGACTGCGTCCTTGGCATAAACACCCATTATAGTTCAATATAAAACTCTCAGCTTATATATACTTCACCCGCGGCTCCGAGCACACTTTATGACTAAAGAGGAACTTACAGTTGACCTGCAGTATTACTGAGGAGGTTTGTATCTGCATGGTGTTATTAGACTCCAGGACTATTTCTGCAACGCAGGTGTAGTTCTGGCCATCGTCTGATTTATTTGCAGTGATATTGAGAACGTTCCTCAATCTATTATCGTCGTCTGGCAAACCAGGAACGTTTGTGAATGCTGTATGAAGAATCTCGTCCCCTTTCAGCCATTTGAGGATCAGTCTGTCTTTAGGGTAGACTCTGGGGCCAGTGCACTCCAGACTGTATTGCTTCTTCTCTTGCAGTGCTCCAGGAGGTTGAGTGATGTTTAATTCACGGTCTAGAAGAGAAATCCAGTTCCCATTTTATCACTCAAACAACCTTTGAGACATCTCAAAGCGCTTAACCCAATATACTGTGAAGTGAATTGATTGTATATTTTGTGGGCTAAATGCATCAACGAATTGTGCCCAACAGTGTCTCTCAAACAGTTGTAGATTGAAGTGACCAATTTATTATTATTTTGTTTTGAATTATTTTGTTACCCCTGGAAGAGCAATCTGCCAATTGACTAACAACCGGGTTCCTGTTTATCGAGTTCTGTGAAGTAAGGAAACTTGCCTAAAGTTTTGCCTGAATCAAACCCAGGGCTTATGCTTTCGAGGCGGGTGCTCTAACTACTGAGTTATATAAACATTCAAGTGGAAACGAGATAGATATCTAAAAAAACAGCAACTTGAACGAGTATTGGAAAAAGACAAGTCAATGGGACTGAATAAATTACTACTCTTTGAAGGAGCTTTTCTGAGTCACGGAATAATCCTCAAAGGCAAAGGTCTAGAAGTATTTTTGATATCTATATCTTTCCTGTAGCTGTAGAATGACAAAAATACATTAGTAAATATACTTCTCCCTGAAGCAAGGATCGTGCATTTTCCCTGTTCCGTGGCCAACCGCCAGACTGCTCTACACCACCACTTTCTGAATCTGTACACTCTGATATAGTTAATTGTTTCCCGCAGTAAAATAGCTTTTTACAACAAGATGTTTCACTTACTGTACACTGGGACACTGATTTCCTTCTTCTCTCTCGTTCTTGTTGTATTGCACATCACGTAGCATGGGTACTTTAGGTCCCATTTCAGGACATTTGAATAAGAGTACTGTTGCCAATTTTCACCCTCTGTTATATTAGGCTTTGTCCCTCCACTTTTCCCTTCAATTGTGAATTGTGGTTCAGGACATGTTGTAGTGCAGTTCATCTCCCAAAGTTGTCCGTATTCCACAGCTTGGGGGTTTGAGAGAATCTGCACCTCAAATCCAGTCACTGTCAAAGAAACAAATCATATGAACTATTGAAAGGAAAGAGCTGGTAATTGAGATGGTCTCCATTGGCATGACTATGCCAGCTCCCTCCTTGCTGGACTTCCCAACTCTATAAGCTGCAGATATTCAGAACTCTCCAGCTCCCAGCTCTGTGAGCTGATCACCCCCATCCTCGCCCGGCTCCACTGGCTCCCCATCCCTCAAAGTTTAAGATCTTCGTCCTCACTTTTAAAGCCCTCCACAAGGGGTTATGAGGTCGCAGAGGCAGGGGGCAGAAAGGCCATTGAGGGCTTGGAAGGTGAGAACCAGGAAGTAAGTTCAGCAGTCACAAATATTGACAACTTTACAGATGAGAAATAACTGTATCAATGTGAATTTACTCTCTAAAGCAGAGTGGAGGTGGCGGTGAGCAGCTTAATCTGTCAATCACTTTGAAACCAGTAACAAAACCGAGAGACCCACACACGGACAGAGAGAGAGACACACAGACAGAGAGAGAGAGACACACAGACAGAGATGGAGACACAGGCAGAGAAAGGGAGATACAGAGACACACAGAGAGAGAGAGAGAGAGATAAAGACACAGATAGAGAGAGATATACAGAGACACGGACAGAGAGATACAGAGACACACAGACAGAGGGAGTTACAGAGACAAACACAGTCAGAGTGCAAGATACAGGACACAGAATGAAATACAGAGGCACACAGACAGAGAGAAATATACAACAAGAACAAAATTAAATTTATAGAGCGCCTTTCATGTCGAAAAGACGTCCCATACAAAGATACAAACAGAGAGAGATACAGAGGCACAGACACAGAGAGAGATACTGACAGAGACAAAGAGATACAGAGACAGAGAGATAGAGAGAGAAATACAGAGGCACACAGACAGAGAGAGATATACAAAGATACAGACACAGAAAGATACAGAGACACAGAGAGGGATACAGAGACACACAGACAGAGAGAGATATACAAAGGTACAGAAAAAGATACACAGAAAGATAGAGTCACAGGGAGAGATACAGAGACATGGACAGAGAGAGAGATAAGGGACACACAGAGAAAGATAGTGACACAGACAGAGATTCAGAGACACCATCAGACAGAGAGAGAGTGATACAGAGAGACAGAGAGATTCAGAGACTACAGAAAACAACAACAAAATGACATTTATATAGCGCCTTTCAAGTCAGGAGGACGTCCCAAAGTGCTGAACAGTCAGGTGTCGGGGCCTGAGCATGGGGGAGGGGTGGTGTAGGGGTGCGGGAAGGCAGAGAGGTGGGAGGGAGACCAAAGGCACGGTCGAAGAGAAGGGTCTTGAGACCGGACTTGTAGGAGGCGAGGGAGGAAGCGAGGTGGAGGGACCGTGGGATAGAGTTCCAGAGTGTGGGGGCAGAGAGGCCACTGATGGTAGGGTGGGTCGGGTGGGAGACATGGAGCAGGCCGGAGCCTGATGAACGGAGGGAGCGGGCAGGTTGGTAGGGAGTCAGCAGGTCAGAGAGGTGGGAGGGGGCAATGCCATGGATGGCCTTTAAAGGTGAGAACGAGAATCTTGAACTCGATCCTCTGGGGGATGGGGAGCCAGTGGAGTCGGGTGAGGGTGGGAGTGATGGGGTCACAGAGCCTGGTGCGCGAGACTACATGAGCTGCAGAGTTTTGGATGATCTGCAGCTTGTGATGGGAAGAGTTGGGAAGGCCGATGCGGAGGGAGTTCCCGTAATCAAGTCTTGAGGTGACGAATACATGGGTTAAGGTTTCGGCAGCCTGAGGCAGTGGCGGAAGAGATACAGAGACAGATATCTCGTCACTGGCTGCATTTTTTAAAATTTGTATTAATTGTTACATTTCTAATTTTGATTGCAACTAAAATATAGTGAAACTCAGTAATATAGTTACACAATTTAAAACAATTTAAAACATGATCCTTATGGGTTGTTTCAGGAAGCAAAACATAAAAATGTTACTTATGCTGTACACAGTTGTTTCTCAAGTCAGCATCCGGCCCTCAGCAGCCAAAAGTTTAGGCCATCCTCTAATGTATAGAGAATAATATTAGAATAATTTAAACCCGCCGCTGCCTACCTGACACACTGAGGAGTAACTTGCAAAAGCAAATAAACCCAACAGGTGAATTCAGTCTGAAATCCATGGGCGACAAGGAATTCCTGATCCGCACTCGTAAAAATGCTGCACGTTCCGATGCCTCAGATCAACTTGGTTTGTGGCGGGTTCTGTGCAGGCATGCGCATTACTGAGAACCCACGCCTTTTCTGAGAAATGGAAACTGTGAATTAACGGTCGTTGTGGGGGATTTTCTAGCATTTGGAAGTAGAGGTGTCCTCTCTCTACATTAGTCCCTCAATTGCACAGGCATTATGTCCTCGGCTGGAAAAGTTTTTGTGATAAAGGATTGTTTTGTTCACAAAACATACAGTCAATTCACTTTACAGTATATTCTGTGAAGCGCTTTGAGACATCTAGAAAACGTAAAAAGGCTCTTCATCAAATGCAAGGATTATTATTATCAGCGTAACTTACCCAAGAAAGCGTCTGCTATTTCCAGAAGTTTGGTTTCCTATTTAATGCAAGAATTCCGATTATTCACATTAATTTATTTCTAACTGCCAGGCTCAGTTAGTCTCAGCCAGGCTCAATTGGTCACACTCTCGCCTCTGAGGTATCTTATTTGGAATAGAATACACACTGTAAGAAATAATAAACAAACAATTTACTCCTTGAAAAAAACATCTTTATTCATTTCGGAGGATTTCCCTCCAATCAGGCTCACACACCTCTCTCAGCATTTGGTAGAAGTATCATGTAAGACAATATTACACTGGTCAAGTTGATGATATCGAATAGTACAGACATTTCCACTTATATAGTGTCTTTCACCTCAAATGTGAAATGCTTAGCAATGAAGTGAATGACCAATTTATCTGAAGCATTTTGAGAGAAATCCCCTTCTCTTTTCCTATACTCATGGGATGTTTAACATCCATCAAGCTGCGCAGCTTTACCTTAACTTGCCTCCATGGGCTTGTCCCCTCCTACCTCTCCGACCTGGTAAACCTTTATCAACCTGTCCGCTCTCCCGCTCAGCAGGCTCTGGCCTGCTCCATGTCCCCCCGGACGGCCCACCCCAAATCGGACTGAGAGTTCAAAGATCCAACCAGAGTCTTGAACGCAGAGGTAAGTGTGCTGTCCACTGAGCCAAACTGATATCTGTTCCTACCCTCCAAAGGAACCTGAAATATTTTGATGTGATAAGGACAAGGTGAAATTCATGAATGAGATTAGGTTTTGAAAATTACCCACCCAAATAATACTGCAATCATATTTTTGCGAGCATATTATTAGTAAGTGGACCTCAAGCGATGAAGACATTAAAAAGGCTTGTAACCGACACTGATAGTCAATTTAGCATTTTATAAAATATAATTACATGTGTTTGAGAACTACAATTGTGATCCAGCGCTGATGAAATTGTCACTTCATGTTTGCCAGAAGGTAACACAATTTCTACTTACAACCGTTAATGAATGAAGTACTACAGTATATACTCATTTAAAAACACTGTCTCAATAATGGTGACACTTGTAAAAGTACAGTATATGTTACAGTTTGGGCGTCATAACCTTAATCTTTAAACAAATACTGGGAAAATGGAAGCAATTCAAAGGTTCCCCTGAAAAAGTGTAGTACTTGCGGGACATGTGGTTCTTACAGTGAGGACAATGTGCCGTAGCTGCAGTCACCCACGATCAGCAGTAAAATTCTTTAGCAAAAGCTTTGATATTTTTCATGTTTTCTCCAGAATTGTTGACATTTAATTCAGATTTCGTCATTCCTTGTCGCTTATGGTGTGGAGTCGTTTAAAGAACATAAAGGGATATCTTCTTGATGTGAGATTCCATTTGGGATCTGTGAGTTGTTGTTGGGCTTTGCATTTTGCAGGATGTATTTTCCTTGTCTCATAGAGATGAAACGCACATAGAGAATGATTCCAATTATAATGAGCCCTGCTGCGAAAAATGCTGCTACAATTCCTGCAATAATACCACACCATGTCATATCTGGAGGAAGAAAAGGAAAATATTTTTTAATATTCCAATATTTTTACATGGAATGATTTATGTAATTGTAGCCATTAACCGCATATCATAAGAAGCATTTGTTACCTCCTAAATATGAGAAATATAATTTATTCCATGTATGTAAGTCAACAGTCCAACAAAACTACTTTTTGCAAGACACTGGCTGCTCTCAATTTGTCACCGTTTTCTGTATATTTCCCCTGTTGATTAATATTAGCCAATGGATTCAGAACCATTCCTTCATCAACAAATACTAAGGATAACCCAGTCAATCATTCCACTGTCTACAAGTGCAATAATAATAATAATAATAAACAATAGAGCATGACAGCAATTAGAGTTTCCAAAATTAGCCAAACCAGCGGTGCACAAGGACAGGGAAGGCACAGAGTGATTTGCTAATTCAAGGCTGAGGAGAAATCAGTCCCTGAATGGACCTCACTACAGTGGTTGTCTGAGACCAATTATCTCAGTCGAGCTGACATTTTTTGGTCAACCGGGTGTTTGAGACATGTGGAACCCCATCACCAAAGAGTGAGCTGGAGTTTAACCAGATAAAACTGTACAGCTTGCAGTTGAGAGCATTGCAGGCAGGATCCACCGCTCATCCAGTGAGGAATAGCCTTGAGGGCTTTGGCTTGCAGGGTTACCAGAAGCTGTTCCCAGTGACTTGTCTGACTTCCAGGTCCTGACGCTGAGCCAGGCTAACTTGTCTGCCACCAACAATGCTTCAGAGAACAGCAGTGCCATAGGCTCAGGACATTTTAGCTGCTGGCTCGGGAATGGCAGGAGCGCTCTTTTAAGAAGGGAAATAAAACAAGAAAATAGAAGAAACTGCCACATCGCTTCTGAAAGTTACTTAATCAGATTTTGTTGAGATTTTAAACTAACCTTTGACGCTGATTTCCACTTTCTGCACATCGGTTCCATGGTGATTATGAGCTCTACATTTATAAATTCCGCTGTTTCCTGAATTTGCGTAAGAAATAAAGAGAATTCCAGAGGGATATTCTTTAACATTTGTGCTCTGATGAGGGTATTCCCAGCTCAAATTAGCTGATGGATTTGCTTCAGAGAAGCAGGTTAATGTAACGTTATCACCGTTATTGATTTGTATCGGAGACTCTGGTGTCCTTTTGGTTTTATTGATTGATATGGTCGTGTTCCGAGGCTTATCTGCAAAACAAAACATGCTTTGAAAATAGGAAGATAAAAATAAGAAAATAATCTTCATCTCAATCATCTCCTCAGTTTTTAAATATCCTGAAATCTGTTACTTACACATGATGGTTACATTCAGAGAATAGTTTGTGGATCCATATTTATTGGTGGCCGTGCAGGTGTACAGACCAGCATCATCCATGTGGACTGACTGGATATGAAGCGTCCTTTCCCGGCTCAGAGGTTTCCCATCTTTGGTCCAGGTTAGCCGGGGAGCTGGGCTTCCTGTCACATCACAACTTACAGTCTGTGGTTTCCCTTCAACCCAGTCTTCGCTTGCTTTATTGATATCTACTGTTGGAGCATCTGTAAGTTTATTAAAATAAAATATTAAGGTTTACAGAACGAAACGTTCAAGGTTTTACAGACCAGAAGCGACAGATACACAGCTGGAGAAATGGTGAATTGTCTTTTCTCAGAAGCACTGTTGTAGCTCTATGTCCCGAGCTTATCCGCATAACAAAACAGGCTTTGAAAATAGGAAGATGAAAATAATCTTCATCTCACTTCATCAAAGGAAACATTTTCTCTTCATCTCCTCAGTTTTTAAATATCCTGAAATCTGTTACTTACACATGATGGTTACATTCAGAGAAGAGTTTGTGGATCCATATTTATTGGTGGCCGTGCAGGTGTACAGACCAGCATCATCCATGTGGACTGACTGGATATGAAGCGTCTTTTCCCGGCTCAGAGGTTTCCCATCTTTGGTCCAGGTTAGCCGGGGAGCTGGGCTTCCTGTCACATCACAACTTACAGTCTGTGGTTTCCCTTCAACCCAGTCTTCGCTTGCTTTATTGATACCTACTGTTGGAGCATCTGTAAATTTATCAAAATAAATATTTAAGGTTTACAGAACGAAACGTTCAAAGTTTTACAGACCAGAAGCGACAGATACACAGCTGGAGAAATGGTGAATTGTCTTTTCTCAGAAGCACTGTTGTAGCTCTATGTCCCGAGCTTATCCGCATAACAAAACAGGCTTTGAAAATAGGAAGATTAGAAAATAATCTTCATCTCACTTCATCAAAGGAAACATTTTCTCTTCATCTCCTCAGTTTTTAAATATCCTGAAATCTGTTACTTACACATGATGGTTACATTCAGAGAAAAGTTTGTGGATCCATATTTATTGGTGGCCGTGCAGGTGTACAGACCAGCATCATCCATGTGGACTGACTGGATATGAAGCGTCTTTTCCCGGCTCAGAGGTTTCCCATCTTTGGTCCAGGTTAGCCGGGGAGCTGGGCTTCCTGTCACATCACAACTTACAGTCTGTGGTTTCCCTTCAACCCAGTCTTCGCTTGCTTTATTGATATCTACTGTTGGAGCATCTGTAAGTTTATCAAAAAAACGATTAAGGTTTACAGATGAGAAGAGACAGATACACAGCTGGTTCACACTAAGGAATGGTGAATTGCCTGTTCTCTGTTGAAACTCTGTCAGAAATCTAAGCTCCTACAGCAGCCCATGGTCAGTGGAACCCCATTATAACACAGGTTCATTTATTTAACCTTACGTTACACATGTGACCATTTAACCAATCCGTCTACATGGCGTGTGCTGTCCTTCAGCGTCTCTTGTGATAAAATTCCTTACCGTTCAAAAGCGACAGTGAAACGCCTACACAGACTGCGTCCTTGGCATAAACACCCATTATAGTTCAATATAAAACTCTCAGCTTATATATATTTCACCCGCGGCTCCGAGCACACTTTATGACCAAAGAGGAACTTACAGTTGACCTGCAGTGTTACTGAGGAGGTTTGTATCTGCATGGTGTCATTAGACTCCAGGATTATTTCTGCAACGCAGGTGTAGTTCTGGCCATCGTCTGATTTATTTGCAGTGATATTGAGAACGTTCCTCAATCTATTATCCTCGTCTGGTAAACCAGAAACGTTTGTGAATGCTGTATGAAGAATCTCGTTCCCTTTCAGCCATTTGAGGATCAGTCTGTCTTTAGGGTAGACTCTGGGGCCAGTGCACTCCAGACTGTATTGCTTCTTCTCTTGCAGCGCTCCAGGAGGTTGAGTGATGTTTAATTCACGAACTGTTTGAAGAGAAATCCAGTTCCCATTATGTCACTCAAACAACCGGTGTCAGTGCTTTACCAGCCAATCACACAGACACACACACTGCATGAATCACAAATGCTCTTTGTAGGTCAGTGACCTCTAGGAAATAACATTATGGGGTACAGTACATAGGTTGTTCGGGACATATGTGCATGCGATCGCCAGGAAGGTGGAAGGTGAACTGGGTGGACCTTGGTCTTTTTTTCGTCTTAGCATTTCTTGTGTTCTTATGTTCTTGTTGGGTACAGGTACAGGTCATAGTCAGAGATTTTATCTGCATTGTTCCAAGATCCCAAAACTAGAAATCTGATGAATTGTGAGGAAATCCTTGTTGATGTGAATGTAATACAGTACAGGAAGCCCCACACTATAGTATGAGAAGAGGGGAACAGCAGGGCAGAGCATTCCATAAGGTCTTTCAACTTATCAGGGTTTTGATGGAGTAGCCCAGGAGAAATTATTTTCACTGGTCAGTGAGCAACAATTGAGAGACATCATTGTAGAGATCAGGAGGATTTACTTCACAAAGAACAGTCAGAATATGGAATGCCCTGCTATGTGCAGTGGTTCAATCCATGTAATAATAATAATTCTTGGATTTGATACAGCACCTTTTGGCGTCTTTGAGACTCAAATCACTTCACAGAATATACTGTGAAGTGAATTGACTGTATATTTTGTGGGCGAAATGCATCAACGAATTGCACACAGGAGTGTCCAACAAACAGTTGTGGATTGAAGTGACCAATTTATTACTATTTTGTTTTGAAGGAATTATTACCCCTGGAAAAGCAATCTGCCAATCGACTAACAACCGATAGGTAAACAGAAGCTGTGAAGTAAGGAAACTTGCCTAAAGTTTTGTCCTGCCTCGGCATGAATCAAACCCAGATCTCATGCTTTAAAGGCGAGTGCACTGAGCTATATAAACATTCAAGCGGAAACTAGATGGATATCTAAAAAAAGCAGCAACTTGAATGGTATTGGAAAAAGACAAGTCAATGGGACTGAATAAATTACTCTTTGAAGCAGCTTTTCTGAGACACGGAATAATCCTCAAAGGCAAAAGTCTAGAATTTTTTTGATATCTATATCTTTCCTGTAGCTGGAGGAGAAAAAAAATACATTGGTAAATAGACTTCTCCCTGAAGCAAGAATCGTGCATTTTCCCTGTTCCGTGGCCAACCGCCAGACTGCTCTACACCACCACTTTCTGAATCTGTACACTCTGATATAGTTAATTGTTTCCCGCAGTAAAATAGCTTTTTACAACAAGATGTTTCACTTACTGTACACTGGGACAGTGATTTCCGCCTTCTCTCTCGTTCCTGTTGTATTGCACATCACGTAGCATGGGTACTTTAGGTCCCATTGCGAGACATTTGAATAAGTGTACTGTTGCCAATTTTCACCCTCTGTTATATTAGGCTTTGTCCCTCCACCTTTCCCTTCAATTGTGAATCGTGGTTCAGGACATGTTGTAGTGCAGTTCATCTCCCAAAATTGTCCGTATTCCACAGCTTGGGGGTTTGAGAGAATCTGCACCTCAAATCCAGTCACTGTCAAAGAAACAAATCATTTGAACTATTGAAAGGAAAGAGCTGGTAATTGAGATGTTCTGAGATAATGAGGCGCTTCAGAACATGATAACAAACCGGCTTCTTATCAAAATAATTTCCTTTGTCAGCAGCTAATGTTTATTTGCTCAGCCGGGCATCTGACACATACGGAAACGCATCACCATGCTGAAGAGTCTCCACACCTGATGAGAGGGTTCCCCCTAGCTTTGGAAATATACCCGTGTCTGGATTGAGTGCACACTCTCTCCCCGGAGGGACTCACCCTGCTTACCTAAAACAGGAAAGTATGATACACAGATTGGCAAGAGCGAGCTTTGGAGTACCTGCTGAGTTTATCACATCTTTGAGATGTCTCAAAGCGCTTCACAAAATATACTGTAAAGCAAATTAACTGTAAATGAGTGAAACAGTGCAGCCAATTGCACACAACAGTGTCCCACAAACAGTCTTGGATTGAGTGACCGATTTATAATTTTTTTGAAGGGATTATTACCCCCACCATTTGACGAGCAACCAGGTTCCTACTTAATTACTGCGAGGTAAACAGAGGCTTGTGGAATAAGAAAACTTGCCCAACTTCTCCCTGGCCAGAAATCGAACCAAGGTCCTCTTCCTTGCAAGGCGAGCGCTCTAACTACGACAGGACTCCACATGAAAATGAAAAGCCTTTCCAGAATGAGAGAAATTGTGGGGAAAGGAGTGAATTCAAATGAACTAATTACATGCTGAAGCAATGTTTGATTGCGAGGGTAGTCCCCAACCACTTAACTACAGGATTTCCCTTTACCACTTCAGAATACCATACTATAAACATGAAAGAACATCTCCCTCTTCTACCTCCATATCACCTCTACACTTCAAGCTTATTCTGCCTTCCAAGCCCCACTCTCTCGTCTCCCCCAGCCCCAGCCCCAGCCCCAGCCCCCAGCCCCAGCCCAGCCCCCAGCCCCCAGCCCCAGCCCAGCCCCCAGCCCCAGCCCAGCCCCCAGCCCAGCCCCCAGCCCCAGCCAGCCCCAGCCCCCAGCCCCAGCCCCAGCCCAGCCCCCAGCCCCAGCCCAGCCCAGCCCCAGCCCCAGCCCCAGCCCAGCCCAGCCCCCAGCCCCAGCCCCCAGCCCAGCCCCAGCCCCCAGCCCAGCCCAGCCCAGCCCCAGCCCCCAGCCCAGCCCCAGCCCCAGCCCCCAGCCCAGCCCCAGCCCCAGCCCCAGCCCCAGCCCAGCCCAGCCCCCAGCCCAGCCCCCAGCCCAGCCCAGCCCCCAGCCCCAGCCCCAGCCCCAGCCCCAGCCCCAGCCCCAGCCCCAGCCCAGCCCCAGCCCCCAGCCCCAGCCCAGCCCCAGCCCCCAGCCCCAGCCCCCAGCCCCAGCCTCAGCCCCAGCCCCAGCCCCCCAGCCCCCAGCCCAGCCCCAGCCAGCCCCCAGCCCAGCCCCAGCCCAGCCCCAGCCCCCAGCCCCAGCCCCCAGCCCAGCCCCAGCCCCCAGCCAGCCCCAGCCCAGCCCCAGCCCCCAGCCTAGCCCCCAGCCCCAGCCCAGCCCCAGCCCCCCCAGCCCAGCCCCCCCAGCCCCCAGCCCCAGCCCCCAGCCTAGCCCCAGCCCAGCCCCCAGCCCCCAGCCCCAGCCCCCAGCCTAGCCCCCAGCCCCAGCCCCCAGCCCTGTTAATCTTTTACATCTCTTCCACCATTTACATCAGAAACAACCGCTATGACCATTTCCAGATCAACTGAAAATGGAAGTAAAAGACAATAAACACAACATGAAACGCTGTAACTTCGGCCGTTACAAATACTGATTATTTTGCAGAAGAGAAGAACTATGAACATGAATTTATTCTCTAAAGTATTGATATAGGAATTGAAACCCGTGGCTGCCTACCTGCCACACCGAGGAGTAACGTACAAATGCAAATAAACCCAACAGGTGAATTCAGTGTGAAATCCATGGGCGACAAGGAATTCCTGCTCCAAATCCTGCAGATCCCTCACGATCAGATCCGTTTGGTTGACTTGGTCTGTGTGACAATGATTTTAAATGGTGGGTTTTATACAGTGACGCTACGTAACCCTTTGATAAGAAACTCACTCCACTTGTAGGAAATTAAAACTGAACTAACTGTTGATCGGGAAATTCCAGCTGCAAAATCTGTACTTTCCCTCTCACACACTGCCCACAGCTCGGAGCAGAACTGACCTTTCTCTACACGAGCGCCTCAATTACGCAACAATTTTTTTGTCTCATAGGCTGCAAATGTGTTTGCAATGAAGGATCTGTCCGAGAGAGTGTGTGTAAGAGTTATTTCCAGAAATTTGACCTCACTGCTATTTAGATTTATTTATTTATAACCACTCAAGTCTTTGCTAGCCTGGCTCAATTGGCAGCTCACTTGCCTCCAAGACGAAGCGCTTTGAGACGCCTCACAGACGTGATAAGGCGCTATGTCAAATGCAAGGATTATTATAAATATTAAGACACCTTAATAAATATTAAGAAAATAAACTAAATATGAGAACCAATAACTAGATCGTCTATTCCTTGAAAAAATATCTCATGTGAGATAATATTCTCAAATTGGAGTCCTGTAGCTCAGTGGTTAGAGCACTCGCTTTGCAAGTGAGAGACCTGAGTTCAATCCCAGGCAGAGGGCGAAACCTTGGGCAAGTTTCCTTACTCCACACAGAGCCTAATAATAATCCCTCCAAAACAAAACAATAAATTGGTCATTTTCAATCTACGACTGTTTGCGGGACATTGCTGTGCGCAATTGGCTGCCGCGTTCGCCCACAAATATACAGTCAATTCACTTTACAGTGTGTTCTGTGAAGCGCTTTGGGACGTCCTCCCGACGTGAAAAGCGCTATATCAAATGCAAGGATTATTATTATAATAACAACGAATGACATTTGTACAGCGCCTTTCACGTCGGGAGGAAGTCCCAAAGCACTGGACAGTCAGAGTTTCGGACCCGAACTGGGGGTCGGGGAGAGTGGAGGGCAGGGCGGGAAACGGGGAGATTGAAATTATGGTCGAAGAGGAGGGTCTTGAAATGGGTCTTGAAGGAGGGGGTGAGGCAGAGGATGGAGTTCCAGAGGGTGGGGGCAGAGTGGCAGAAGGCCCGCCCGCCGATAGTGGGGTGAGCGAGGTGGGGGCTGTGAGGCAGGCCCGAGACCGCTGCGCGGAGGGAGCGAGCAGGATGGTAGGGAGGGAAGCAAGACCCTAGAGGACCAGGATCTTGAACTGTATCCTCTGTGTGATGGGAAGCCAGTGGAGTCGGGCGAGGATGGGGTGATAGGGTCGAGGGGCTCGGTGTGGGTGACGTTGCGAAGGTGGGGGAAGGCGGAGCAGGTCTTGGCGCAGATGTGGGTTAACAACAACAAGAAGTTGGATTTATTTAGCGCCCTCGACACCGGACGCATCTCAGAGCACTTTACAGTAACGGATCCCGGGACCGAGCCAGGGGGAGGGGTGGAAGGTGACCAAAGGGGCGGTTGAAAAGGTCTTCAGCAGAGACCTAAAAATGCGAAGAGATGGAGCGAGGCGAAGGGAGTGAGGAAGGCAGTTCGGGGCTGAAGGCCACAATGGATCCACAAACGATTCTCTGAATGTAACCATCATGTGTAACAGATTCAAAATAATAATAATAATAATAATTTGGTGACTCAATCCACAACTGTTTGTGGGACACTTTGTATGCAATTGGCTGCCGCATTTATTAAGTCATGGATCAAGAAATCTTCAATCAAAATCTGGAAGGACAGTACTGATCAAACACGGACTGGACTCATCTAGACCAATGCTAGCGTACCAAGCCAATTTTAAGGATGCCAAGCTCAGTTGATTTTAAGGATGTTGATGTTTTGTTGAACTTATGTGTTGCTTTAACAGTTGTGTTTGTGCAATTTTAAATAGCAAAACCCGGTCAACTTTACACACAGTATCACATCTGCAAAATGTGACTGTTCTGAGCGTTAGGCTGGTAAACGTGAGATACGGTGGAGTACTGCTGAGGGGTGCAATGTCAGTGCTGGGCATACAGATAAGCTCCTGTGTTTATCTGCATAATAAACCCTCCATTTGACATAGCATCTGTTACACCAAAACATCTGTAGCAGTTTGCCCACTTATACCCAGGGCCCAAATAGCAATGAAGTGAATTACTCTAAATTTATCTGAGGGCTTCAGGAGAAATTCCCTTCTCTTCCTATAGTGTCACAGGATCTTTACCGTCCATCAGGCTGTCATGGCAGATAGAGTTAGGATTACATCATTTTTGCCAGGAAGTAACGCAATTTCTATTTTACAACCCTTCCTATTAACAGTGTCAGATTAATGCAGTGCTACAGTACATACACATTTAACACCTCGTCTCAATGACGGTTACACTTGTAAAAGTACAGTATATGTTACAGTCTGGGCATCATAGTCTTAATCTTTAAACAAAAACTGTGAAATTGGAAGCGATTCAAAGATTCTGCTCAAAACCTGTAGTCACTGTGGGATTGTGCCATAGCTGCAATAACCCACGTTCAGTATTAAAAGCTTTGGCAAAAGCTTTATTTTTTTCATGGTTTCCCCCTTAATTGTTGGTATTTAATTCAGATATTGTCATTGCTGGGGGCTGGTTTGGAGTCTTTTAGAGGGATATTGTCTTGGTGTGCATCTACTTTTGGGTTCTGTGGATTGTTGTTGGGCTTTGCATCTTGTAATTAGTATTATTATCTCCGACACAAGTAACAAACACCGACTCCGATTGCTCCAAGTATGATGACACCCGCTACAATTCCTATAATCATACAGGTTCTATCTGTGAGAGAAAAAAAGAAAGACATAATACAAGGGATGAGAAAAATAATAGTTTCCATAAATGTAATAAATAATATCCTTACATTTGATAGAGTGTCTTATCACGTCTTCGAGACGTCTCAAAGCGCTTCACAGAATATACTGTACAATGAATTGACTGTGGGTGGACGAAAAGTGGTAGCCATTTACACACAGCAGTGTTTAACAAACAGTCATGGATTGATTGACCAAATTATTATTTTACATTTTTTTTTGAAGGGTTTATTACCCTGGAACAGCGATCTGCCAATCGACTAACAACTGGTTCCTGCTTACTGCTAGGTAAACACAGGCGTGCAGAGTGAGGAAACTTGCCCAATGTTTTACCCTCCCGGGAATCGAACCCAGGGCCTCTCGCTTGCGAGGCGAGTGCTCTAACTAAGGTACAGGACTCCAGAGTCTCCAGAAGGAAAATAAAACAAGAAACGGAAGAAAACAGGAAGCAGAACTGCCACATCGATTCTGAAAATTCATGTTATTTAATCAGTTTTTGCTGAGATTTTAAACTAACCTTTGACACTGATTTCCACTTTCTGCACATCGGTTCCATGGTGATTATGAGCTCTACATTTATAAATTCCGCTGTTTCCTGAATTTGCGTAAGAAATAAAGAGAATTCCAGAGGGATATTCTTTAACATTTGTGCTCTGATGAGGGTATTCCCAGCTCAAATTAGCTGATGGATTTGCTTCAGAGAAGCAGGTTAATGTAACGTTATCACCGTTATTGATTTGTATCGGAGACTCTGGTGTCGTTTTGTTTTTATTGTTTGATATGGTCGTGTTCCGAGGCTTATCTGCAAAACAAAACATGCTTTGAAAATAGGAAGATAAAAATAAGAAAATAATCTTCATCTCAATCATCTCCTCAGTTTTTAAATATCCTGAAATCTGTTACGTACACATGATGGTTACATTCAGAGAATAGTTTGTGGATCCATATTTATTGGTGGCCGTGCAGGTGTACAGACCAGCATCATCCATGTGGACTGACTGGATATGAAGCGTCTTTTCCCGGCTCAGAGGTTTCCCATCTTTGGTCCAGGTTAGCCGGGGAGCTGGGCTTCCTGTCACATCACAACTTACAGTCTGTGGTTTCCCTTCAACCCAGTCTTCGCTTGATTTATTGATACCTACTGTTGGAGCATCTGTAAGTTTATTAAAATAAAATATTAAGGTTTACAGAACGAAACGTTCAAGGTTTTACAGACCAGAAGCGACAGATACACAGCTGGAGAAATGGTGAATTGTCTTTTCTCAGAAGCACTGTTGTAGCTCTATGTCCCGAGCTTATCCGCATAACAAAACAGGCTTTGAAAATAGGAAGATTAGAAAATAATCTTCATCTCACTTCATCAAAGGAAACATTTTCTCTTCATCTCCTCAGTTTTTAAATATCCTGAAATCTGTTACTTACACATGATGGTTACATTCAGAGAAGAGTTTGTGGATCCATATTTATTGGTGGCCGTGCAGGTGTACAGACCAGCATCATCCATGTGGACTGACTGGATATGAAGCGTCTTTTCCCGGCTCAGATGTTTCCCATCTTTGGTCCAGGTTAGCCGGGGAGCTGGGCTTCCTGTCACATCACAACTTACAGTCTGTGGTTTCCCTTCAACCCAGTCTTCGCTTGCTTTATTGATATCTACTGTTGGAGCATCTGTAAGTTTATCAAAAAAAGGTTTAAGGTTTACAGATGAGAAGAGACAGATACACAGCTGGTTCACACTAAGGAATGGCGAATTGCCTGTTCTCTGTTGTAACTCAGAAATCTAAGCTCCTACAGCAGCCCATGGTCAGTGGAACCCCATTATAACACAGGTTCACTTATTTAACCTTACGTTACACATGTGACCATTTACCCAATCCGTCTACATGGCGTGTGCTGTCCTTCAGCGTCTCTTGTGATAAAATTCCTTACCGTTCAAAAGAGACAGTGAAACGCCTACACAGACTGCGTCCTTGGCATAAACACCCATTATAGTTCAATATAAAACTCTCAGCTTATATATATTTCACCCGCGACTCCGAGCACACTTTATGACTAAAGAGGAACTTACAGTTGACCTGCAGTGTTATTGAGGAGGTTTGTATCTGCATGGTGTTATTAGACTCCAGGACTATTTCTGCAACGCAGGTGTAGTTCTGGCCATCGTCTGATTTATTTGCAGTGATATTGAGAACGTTCCTCAATCTATTATCGTCGTCTGGCAAACCAGGAACGTTTGTGAATGCTGTATGAAGAATCTCGTTCCCTTTCAGCCATTTGAGGATCAGTCTGTCTTTAGGGTAGACTCTGGGGCCAGTGCACTCCAGACTGTATTGCTTCTTCTCTTGCAGCGCTCCAGGAGGTTGAGTGATGTTTAATTCACGATCTGTTAGAAGAGAAATCCAGTTCTCATTTTGTCACTCAAACAACCAGTGTCAGTACTTTGACGTCTTCGAGACGTCTCAAAGCGCTTCACAGGATATACTGTGAAATGAATTGATTGTATATTTTGTGGGCTAAATGTGGCAGTGTCCCTCAAACAGTTGTGGATTGAAGTGACCAATTTATTATTATTTTGTTTTTAATTATTTTGTTACCCCTGGAAGAGCAATCTGCCAATTGACTAACAACCGGGTTCCTACTTATCACTAGGTAAACAGAGGCTGTACAGTAACGAAACTTGCCTAAAGTTTTGCCCTGTCTGGGCATGAATCTGGTCCAGGTCTCATACTTTCGAGGCGAGTGCTCTAACCACTGAGCTATATAAACTTTCAAGCGGGAATTAGATCGCTATAGCAGAGATTGACTCAATGTGCCTTCGTTACATTGAATCTAAGAGCTCTACAGTCTCTGATCAAGTGCAATAACATTCCCTAAACAGTAGCTTCTGAAGATGTGATTTCTTGCATTTTTTGTAATGTTGATCATTACAAAGCTGAATTCTTATCATGGTTTGAGACGCGGAATAATCCTCAAAGACGAAAGTCTAGAAGTACTTTTGATATCTAAATATTTCCTGCAGCTGTAGGAGAACAAATATTCATTGGTAAATAGACTTCTCCCTGCAGCAAGTAGCTTCCATTTTCCTGTTCCCTGGCCAATCGCGAGTCCAGCCACTTTCTGAATCTATACACAACAACAATAACAAAATGACATTTGTATAGCGCCTTTACGTTGGGAGGACGTCCCAAGGTGCTGGACAGATAGAATTTCGGACCCGAGCTGGGGGTCTGGATTGAGGAGGGTGAAGGGCAGGGAGGGAAGCAGGGAGATCGAAAGCACGGTCTAAGAGGAGGGTCTTGAAGGAGGGAAGTGAAGGGGCGAGTCAGAGACCCTGAGAGATGGAGTTCCAGAGGGTAGAGGCAGGGTGGCAGAACGCTCGCCCGCCAATGGAGCCCACTGAGCAGAGGGAGCGGGCAGGATGGTAGGGGGTTATGAGATCGGAGAGATAGGGGGGAGCAAGGCCATGGAGGAATTTGAAGGTGAGAATCAGGATCTTAAACTGTATCCTCTGTGTGATGGGAAGCCAGTGAAGTCGAGTGAAGATGGGGTTGATAGAGTCACGGAGCCTGGTGCAGGAGAGGACACGAGCTGCAGAATTCTGGATAATCTGCAGCCTATGGAGGGAAGAGTTGGGGAGGCCGACAAGCAAGGAGTTTTGCATACTCTTATATGGTTTAATTGTTTCCTGCAGTAAAATAGCTTTTTACAACAAGATTTCACTTACTGTACACTGGGACAGTGATTTCCTTCTTCTCTCTCGTTCTGTTGTATTGCACATCACGTAGCATGGGTACTTTAGGTCCCATTGCGAGACATTTGAATAAGAGTACTGTTGCCAATTTTCACCCTCTGTTATATTAGGCTTTGTCCCTCCACCTTTCCCTTCAATTGTGAATCGTGGTTCAGGACATGTTGTAGTGCAGTTCATCTCCCAAAGTTGTCCGTATTCCACAGCTTGGGGGTTTGAGAGAATCTGCACCTCAAATCCAGTCACTGTCAAAGAAACAAATCATATGAACTATTGAAAGGAAAGAGCTGGTAATTGAGACACTGACACATATGGAAACGCATCACCATGCTAAAGAGTCTCCACACCTGATGAAAGGGTTCCACCTCGCTTTGGAAATATACCTGTGTCTCTCCCTGGCAAGAACGAGCTTTGGAGTACTGCTGAGTTTATCGCGTCTGAGACGTCTCAAAGCGCTTCACACAATATACTGTAAAGTGAAGTAACTGTATATTTTGTGAGTGAAACGCTGCAGCCAAAAATAACTACAATTTTGTTTCTCTCCAAAATCATTTCCTGTGGAATTTTTCGCATCCTGTCACTGGGCAGACACTGTAAAACTACTGCAAAAGCAGCCGTCTCACAAGACCACGGTGTTTTAATGAGGAACACCCTACAGTCCAGTTTATTTTAAGTTTGCAGAACACCCTCCATAGCAGTCACCACACTTTCTAACAATTACTATGATATGATTATAATCCTTGCTTTTTGTTATAGCGCCTTATCATTTTCGAGATGTCTCAAAGCGCTTCACAGAATATACTGTATATTTTGTGGGTGAAATGTGGTCATTCAATCCCATCCGTTTTGCCTTCCATTCACTTTACAGTATATTCTGTGCAGCGTTTGAGACGTCAAGAAGACCTGAAAAGCGCTGCATCAAATGTAAGGATTAGATTACTATAAACATGAAAGAACATCTCCTTCTTCTGTGAAGTTTCTACCTCCATATCACCTCTACACTTCAAGCTTATTCTGCCATCCAAGCCCCACTCTCTCGTCTCCCCCAGCCCCAGCCCTGTTAATCTTTTACATCTCTTCCACCAATTACATAATAATCCCTCCAAAACCAAAAACAATAATAAATTGGTCATTTTCAATCTACGACTGTTTGTGGGACATTGCTGTGCGCAATTGGCTGCCGTGTTCGCCCACAAATATACAGTCAAATCACTTTACAGTGTGTTCTGTGAAGCGCTTTGGGACGTCCTCCCGACGTGAAAAGCGCTATATCAAATGCAAGGATTATTATTATTATTATTATCAGAAACAACCGTTATGACCATTTCTAGATCAACTGAAAATGAAAGTAAAAGACAATAAACACAACATGAAACGCTGTAACTTCAGCCGTTACAAATACTGATTATTTTGCAGAAGAAAAGAACTATGAACATGAATTTATTCTCTAAAGTATTGATATAGGAATTGAAACCCGTGGCTGCCTACCTGCCACACCGAGGAGTAACGTACAAATGCAAATAAACCCAACAGGTGAATTCAGTGTGAAATCCATGGGCGACAAGGAATTTCTGCTCCAAATCCTGCAGATCCCTCACGATCAGATCCGTTTGGTTGACTTGGTCTGTGTGACAATGATTTTAAATGGTGGTTTTTATACAGTGACACTACGTAACTCTTTGATAAGAAACTCACTTCCCTCTTTAACTGAACTCACTGACGATCGGAAAATTCAAACAGGAAGAACAATTGTTCTTTCCCTCTCACACTGCCCACAACTCGGAGCAGAACTGACCTTTCTCTACACGGGTCCCTCAATTGCACAGGAGTTGTTTGTCTCCTGGGCTGCAAATGTTTTTGTAATGAAGGCTCTGCCCGAGAGAGAGTGTGTGTGTCAGCTGTGACCAGAAATTTAGTGTCACTGCTATTCATATTTATTCATTTATAACCACTCAAGTCTTTGTTAGTTGGCTCAATTGGCAGCTCATTTGCCTCTAAGACACCTTCTTTGAAAAGGAAAACAAACTAAATATGAGAACCAATAACTCGAAGATTTATTCCTTGAAAAAAATCTCATGTGTGACGATATTCCCCTGGTCAAGTTCATGGTATTAAATTCTACAATAACAAATGTTTAATTTGATATCAAGCCTGATCCCATCTTCGAGACGTCTCAAAGTCCTTCACAAAATATACTGTAAAGTGAATGGACTATACTTTGTGGGCGAAACTCGTCAATTGTGCATAGTGGTGTCCCACAAACAGTCGTGAGTAACCGAATATTCGAACCCAGGTCCTCTCGCTTGTGAGGCAAGCGCTCTAACCACTAAACTATAGGACTCCACATCGAGATGAGAATTCTCCAAGTTGGGAGAGGACTGTGAAATTGTGGGGAAAGGAGTGAATTCAAATGATTACTTGTATGTCACGAAATACAGGCTGAAGCAATGTTTGATTGCGAGTCTAATGCTCTAACTGCTTAGCTACAGAAATTCTTTTAATGCAGGACGTGTAATACATTTCCATTTCAGAATACCGATCGAACACAGACTGGACTCATCTAGACCAATGCTAGCGTGCCAAGCCAATTTTAAGGATGCCAAGCTCAGTTGATTTTAAGGATGTTGATGTTTTGTTGAACTTATGTGTTGCTGTAACAGTTGTGTTTGTGCAATTTTAAATAGCAAAACCCGGTCAACTTTACACACAGTATCACATCTGCAAAATGTGACTGTTCTGAGCGTTAGGCTGGTAAACGTGAGATACGGTGGAGTACTGCTGAGGGGTGCAATGTCAGTGCTGGGCATACAGATAAGCTCCTGTGTTTATCTGCATAATAAACCCTCCATTTGACATAGCATCTGTTACACCAAAACATCTGTAGCAGTTTGCCCACTTATACCCAGGGCCCAAATAGCAATGAAGTGAATTACTCTAAATTTATCTGAGGGCTTCAGGAGAAATTCCCTTCTCTTCCTATAGTGTCACAGGATCTTTACCGTCCATCAGGCTGTCATGGCAGATAGAGTTAGGATTACATTATTTTTGCCAGGAAGTAACGCAATTTCTATTTTACAACCCTTCCTATTAACAGTGTCAGATTAATGCAGTGCTACAGTACATACACATTTAACACCTCGTCTCACTTGTAAAATTACAGTATAGGTTACAGTCTGGGCATCACAGTCTTAATCTTAATGCAGTGCTACAGTACATACACATTTAACACCTCGTCTCACTTGTAAAAGTACAGTATATGTTACAGTCTGGGCGTCACAGTCTTAATCTTTAAACAAAACTGTGAAATTGGAAGCGATTCAAAGATTCTGCTCAAAACCTGTAGTCACTGTGGGATATCAGGGCTTACAGCGAGGACATTGTGCCATAGCTGCAATCACCCACGTTCAGTATTAAAAGCTTTGGCAAAAACGTTGATAATTGTTGGTATTTAATTCAGATATTGTCATTGCTGGGGGCTTATGCTTTGGAGTCTTTCAGAGGGATATTGTCTTGGTGTGTATCTACATTTGGGATCTGTGGATTGTTGTTGGGCTTTGCATCTTGTATTTTGTAATTTCCTTTTCTCTGAGCTCTCTGATACAAGTAATAAGCAACGGCTCCGATTGCAACTCCAAGTGTGATGACACCCGCTACAAATCCTGCAACCACACCTGTTATATCTGTGAGAGAAAAAAAGGAAAAACATAATACAAGGGATGAGAAAAATATTAGTTTCTATAAATATATTAATAATAAATAAGAATCCTCTGCATTTGATATAGAGTCTTGTCACGTCTTCGAGACGGCTCAAAGTGCTTCACAGAGTATAATGTAAAATAAATTGACTGTGGGTGGACGAAAAGTGGTAGCCATTTACACACAGCAGTGTTCAACAAACAGTCATGGATTGATTGACCAAATTATTATTTTAATTTTTTTTGAAGGGTTTATTACCCCTGGAAGTGATCCGTCAATCGACTAACAACTGGTTCCTGCTTACTGCTAGGTAAACACAGGCGTGCAGAGTGAGGAAACTTGCCCAACGTTTTGCCCTCCTGGGAATCGAACCCAGGGAGGCGAGTGCTCTAATCACTGAGCTACAGGACTTTGTCTCTAGAAAGAAAATAAAACAAGAAACGGAAGAAAACAGGAAGCAGAACTGCCACATCGCTTTTGAAAATTCACGTTATTTAATCAGATTTTGTTGAGATTTTAAACTAACCTTTGACACTGATTTCCACTTTCTGCACATCGGTTCCATGGTGATTATGAGCTCTACATTTATAAATTCCGCTGTTTCCTGAATTTGCGTAAGAAATAAAGAGAATTCCAGAGGGATATTCTTTAACATTTGTGCTCTGATGAGGGTATTCCCAGCTCAAATTAGCTGATGGATTTGCTTCAGAGAAGCAGGTTAATGTAACGTTATCACCGTTATTGATTTGTATCGGAGACTCTGGTGTCGTTTTGTTTTTATTGTTTGATATGGTCGTGTTCCGAGGCTTATCTGCAAAACAAAACATGCTTTGAAAATAGGAAGATAAAAATAAGAAAATAATCTTCATCTCAATCATCTCCTCAGTTTTTAAATATCCTGAAATCTGTTACTTACACATGATGGTTACATTCAGAGAATAGTTTGTGGATCCATATTTATTGGTGGCCGTGCAGGTGTACAGACCAGCATCATCCATGTGGACTGACTGGATATGAAGCGTCCTTTCCCGGCTCAGAGGTTTCCCATCTTTGGTCCAGGTTAGCCGGGGAGCTGGGCTTCCTGTCACATCACAACTTACAGTCTGTGGTTTCCCTTCAACCCAGTCTTCGCTTGCTTTATTGATACCTACTGTTGGAGCATCTGTAAGTTTATCGAAAAAAAATAGGTTTACACATGAAAAGAGACAGATACACAGCTGGTTCACACTAAGGAATGGCGAATTGCCGTTTTTCTAAAAAAGCACTACTGCAGCTCTGTGTCTGAGCTGCTACAGCAGTCCATGGTACAGTGGAACACCTTTGGAACATTTGTAACCCAATGGTTAGATCACTCGCCTCACAAGCAAGAGAACCTGGGTTCGATTCCCGGGAGGGTGAAATTTGGGCAAATTTCCTTACTCCACACACACGCCTGTTGACCCAGAAGTAAGTAGGAACCCGGCTGTTAGTGGACTGAAGGATCGCTTTACCAGAAGTCCTTCAAAAAATAAAATGAAAAAATAATAACAAATTGGTCACTCAATGGATGACTATTTGTGGGACACTGCTGTGTGCAATTGGCTGCCACATTTCGTCCACAAAAATATACAGTCAATTCCATTTACAGTATACTCTGTGAAGCCCTTTGAGACGTCTCGAAGACGCTGTATCGAATCTAAGGATTATTATTATTCTATGGATTCAACCTCTGCAGGTAGCAGGGCATTTCATATTCTAACAATTCTTTGTGAAATAAATCTTCCTGATAAGGCGCTATATCAAAGGCAAGGATTATTATTATAGTTCTGTATAAAACTCTCAGCTTATATATATATATTTCACCCGCGACTCCGAGCACACTTTATGACTAAAGAGGAACTTACAGTTGACCTGCAGTGTTACTGAGGAGGTTTGTATCTGCATGGTGTTATTAGACTCCAGGATTATTTCTGCAACGCAGGTGTAGTTCTGGCCATCGTCTGATTTATTTGCAGTGATATTGAGAACGTTCCTCAATCTATTATCCTCGTCTGGCATACCAGGAACGTTTGTGAATGCTGTATGAAGAATCTCGTCCCCTTTCAGCCATTTGAGGATCAGTCTGTCTTTAGGGTAGACTCTGGGGCCAGTGCACTCCAGACTGTATTGCTTCTTCTCTTGCAGCGCTCCAGAAGGTTGAGTGATGTTTAATTCACGATCTGTTAAAAAGAGAAATCCAGTTCCCATTATTTCTACTGAAGGCCACTGAATGGTGTTGAGGACTAGTTTCATACAGGGACTTGTATCTAAAGCTAAGATCTGCCTTTTGGCTAAGATCAAATATAGTTTCAGTGCTTTTCACGGGATTTGCTTGGGATTTGCTTCTGCCAGGAAATTCTCCTGTTGAGGTTTGCTTGTGTTTATATGGCATTGACTGAATCTCCCCATAATGCATTAGGAAAGAATGATCTCCTGCCACGAGCCTCCTTCGTCCCTCACTCCCCGTGTCCCTTTGCTGACAAGGATCAGTGCTGCAGTACTTCCGAGCTGAGCACTTTGATCCTCCCTCACAAAGAGAAACAACAATAACACGAAATGACACTTGTATAGTGCCTTTCACATCGGGAGGACATCGGGAGTCTGGAATACATAATTAGCTCGAGCAGTTGGTCACGAGGCTCAGGCTGGGCTTACCCAGCTAGAGAGGCCATCCGGTCACCTGGTACGTATCAGGTCCTGTAGCTTAGTAGTTAGAGCACTCGCCTCGCAAGTGAGAGGACCTGGGTTTGATTCATGTCAGGGTGAAATGTTGGGAGTTTCCTTACTCCACACACACACGCCTCTGTTTACCTAGCTGTAAGTAGGAACCTGGTTGTTAGTCGATTGGTGGATCGCTTTTCCGGGTTAATGATCCCTTAAAAAAAAATTGGTTATTCAATCCACGACTATTTGTGGGACACCACTGCGCGCAACTGGCTGCCACATTTCGCCCACAAAATATACAGTCAATTCACTTTACAGAATATTATGTGAAACGCTTTGAGACGTCTCAAAGACGTGATAAAGCGCTGTATCAAATGCAAGGATTATTATTATCATCCTTTGACGGTTTGCGGTCCAGTGAACTTGGGGGAGAGAATGGTTGTCTGTGGGGACAATCTTGTTCCCTTAAGGAAAGCAGTTCGGTGGAGCCTAACCATGCTCACCAAATAAACAAAATAAAATTGGGTGAGTTTCACTTCTCATACTGCATTTGGTCTCTTCTCGTGTTGAGCTTTACATGCAGCCAGTAACTAGCATTGTAGAGTCTTGTTAGGACACGGTGGTAGGGATTGAAGAAATCCCAACCATGGTTATAATACGGAATACTTGCCTGTCAGTGTTGCTCGTTTACTGCAAACAAGCAAATAATGCTGTCCAGCTTCCAACACTAAAGAATAGGCAACTTCCAGGTCATCAGGTTAATGAGCATTCGCTGTGTGCAGGAACTGATGTTGCAAAGCCTACTGTGATCAAACACCCTCAAAAATTGCTCAACCAATTCCTAGAAAATTCCCTGAGCTGATTCAGTGTTGATATATTGCCTATATGGAAAGCTGAAGATTATTAGCATAGGTGACTCAGGACGTGACACTCTTGTGAACCCACACACTGCAGTAAGAGTGGAAGAATTTGGGTTTGTACTCACAGTGCCCACATGTAAGACTCGCTTAATATTACCTCCAATTTCCTCTCCATCCTGGCAGAGAATTGCCTCATTTTTACTTTATATCTCTCACTTATATCTCTCAATTATCCTGGCTGAAGTAAGGACCTCACTGTGTGCAAGCCACTAAGTGCAAGCCAACTTCCTTCAATCTCATGTTAGCTCAAGCAATCTGCAGCACCAGAACTTTCTGAAATCTGGAGATGTATCTATCTGCTGTCGACCTCTTTGTTTTGTATCTTCATTCAAACATTAAAACAAGATGTTCTTACTTACTGTACACAGGTAAAACTAGAGATGTGAAAGATGCGTTAGATCCACAAGTTACCAAACATATGATGGGGTTATCCCAAAACTGGACACTTGAGTAAGAAAACGCCTTCCAAGTTGGACCACCAATTATATTTTTTGGTTTTTCTTTTAGTTCAAATTGTATAAATGGTTCAGGCCTTCCACAAGTTGTACTGCAATTAATCTTCACAAACTCTCCAAATTCCACAGCTTGTGAGCTTAAGTCAATCCATGTGTTAAATTCAGTCCCATTTGCTGTGAAAGAAAGAATTTACAGTAAATATAACATGAAATCCATTCAATGACTGAACTGAATAATTTACTGCCTCCTCCCCCCCTCCCCAACACACACAGACACACAACAGTGGAATTACTTGATTGAATTTTCAGGTTGTATTTGTCGCAGGAAAGGTAGAGAGGACAGGAAAGTTTCTAAACATCTTTGCAAAAACTTTAAAGCATCTAAAAGCCATCGTACTTGCATTACATAGTTCTTCCATCCCACCACCACACATAAACTCGGCTATTCATTTAACCCACAGGATAAAAGAGCACAACTGAATATACCAGAAAGTGCTACACCACCAAACAATGTTCTACTATAGAGTCTGACTTAGAAAGGGCAAGGACCACAAGATTAGAGATGTTTAGTCCTGGAGTGTAGTGGTTAGAGCACTCGCCTCGCAAGCAAAAAGACCTGGGATTGATTCCCTGGCAGGGTGAAACGTTAGGCAGTTTCCTTACTCCACACACGCTCCTCTGCTTATCTACCAGTAAGTAGGAGTAAGGAGCTATATCAAACGCAGGGATTATTATTATATTGCTAGTAATTAGCAAAATAATTCTTCCTTATAAAAACAATCACTTCAAGTGTGAGAGCATCAGAACAAAGAGATTATCCAGCTCATTAAAGTGACTGATCCCAACGGTGTGCTCCTCTCTACAATAATAATCCTGAATAATATGCCTTGCATTTGATACAGCGCCTTATCACGTCTTCAAAACGTCTCCAAGAACTTCACAGAATATACTGGTGGACCGCTTTTCCGGGGGTAATAATTCCTTAAAAATAAATGTAAAAAATAAACTGGTCACTCAATCCCATCCTTGCATTTGATATATTTGATATAGCACCTTATCACATCTCCGAGACGTCTCAAAGCGCTTCACAGAATATATTATAAAGTGAATTGACTGCATTTCGTGGCTGAAACCCAACAAGCCAATTGCGCATAACAGTGTCCCACAAACAGTCATAGATCGACTGACCAATTTTTAAAAATGATCATTTTTATTTTTTCTCATTCCTCTTTTTAACTGAGAACCGACCGACGATCGGGAAATTCAAACAGGAATAAAATGTGTCTCTTTCACTCTTACAGCTTCGGGAGCAGAACTGACCTCTCTCTAAATGAGTCTCTCAGTTGTGATTATTGTAGGATGGTTTGCAGGAGCTATATTCTATATAACTACTATATCCTTCCAATATTCCTTCTGTCAACCACAGAAAACCTCCACTCCTCTCAGCAATCCACGGATCTGGGTCTCCCCACTGTCCCTATTTAGATATTCTCCACTGCACGAAGTTACAGCCGCCGCCAGAAAGTTTAAAACCTTTTAAAAGTTATTTTTCTTTTGAGTAAACTTCGCTGCCGCTGATTTAACTGATGTTTGCAGGGAAATCCAAACAGCATTGGTAACCGGAATCTCAGCAGCGTTACCCCAATATAGAGCATCACACCAAATATACAGCATAACTGATTATATATATATATGTAATATTTATATGTAGAGCATGAAGCCAGTCAAGCACCATCGTTAGCACCATACTATAATTCTACTTTAAACGCTCCAGAGTTATTTGAAAGGAACAAGTACCTGGCAAACTCCACACACTGATGAGCGACCCGAAAAAGCAAAGCACTCCAACCGATGAGAAGAGGTTCCGATCCATCATTGCATTGATTCAGAATTGTCTACTGCAGAATCCCGATGACCCTTTAAGTCCCAGGCTGGGGGTGGGGGTCCCAGGCTGGGGGTGGGGGTCCCAGGCTGGGGGTGGGGGTCCCAGGCTGGGGGTGGGGGTCCCAGGCTGGGGGTGGGGGTCCCAGGCTGGGGTGGGGGTCCCAGGCTGGGGGTGGGGGTCCCAGGCTGGGGGTGGGGGTCCCAGGCTGGGGGTGGGTGGGGTGGGGTGGGGAGGGGGGATACTGTGCTGGGCTGGATGGTTTGAATGCAGGAAGCTGATCCCTTTGCCCGTTGTATCCGAAACAGCAGCCAAACAAACGTGGCACAAATTCAAATAGTTATCTTCAGCCTCAGATACATCCTCTTATAATAAGTGCCCAGGAATTTAAACCGGATTGAAGGCAGTCCAGGTGACGCGTTTACACGAAAGGAGTGTGTGACACTTCTGATGTGGTAAACTGAGAAATGCTCCACTCGCAAAAGGAAACGCGAGATGAGGCATTGATCTTGTGAGAGATCATGTTACTGATAATTTCCACTATTGCAACACACCAGCCAGTCGTTGCTGGGTGCAAATCACTTTCAGAGTGAAACTCTCTGAGACGTCCTCAAAGGTTCTAGTTATTTTAAGTGCAAAGATCTTTATTATTGTTGTTGTTATTCCTGTTCGGGTGAACATTATTATTATTAATTATAATAATCCTTGCATTTGATATAGCGCTTTTCACATCTTATAATAATAATAATAATCCTTGCATTTGATATAGCGCTTTTCACGTCAGGAGGACGTCCCAAAGCGCTTCACAGAACACACTGTAAAGTGAATTGACTGTATATTTGTGGGCGAACGCGGCAGCCAATTGCGCACAGCAATGTCCCACAAACAGTCGTAGATTGAAAATGACCAATTTAATTATTGTTATGGGTTTTTTGGAGGGATTATTATTAGGCTCTGTGTGGAGTAAGGAAACTTGCCCAAGGTTTCGCCCTGCCTGGAATTGAACTCAGATCTCTCACTTGCAAAGCGAGTGCTCTAACCACTGAGCTACAGGACTCCAATCTTCTAGACGTCTCAAAGCGCTTAATTAAAAAGGTTATTTGAAAAATAAAAGCAAGTTGCTCCCAGAGTCCTGGCCAATAATCCTCAGTTCAAGCGCTCTGGGACACTAACCTGCGGGTGCTATACAAATGCAAGTTGTTGTTACAGTTAATTAGTCATTCACTATATGATGCTTGTGAGGTTTGCTGCAAAAACTGTCACTGCGTGCTAACAGAAATTGGAGGTGTTAGATACAGCTTGGTGCAATGTATTTAATTCTTTAAGTACTCTTGTTTACTTACATTAAGTATATATATACAATGCTGCAAACAGTTAGCTTCATTTTTCTTATCCGGTTGTTTCATTTCCTGACTCATTCATAAATAATATCCACGGTAGGTATAATATTGTCAGACTCTTACATTAAATACATTCAACATTAAGGTTAGGGGCCAGGGTTTAATCCCAATTCTATAAGAGTTATTTTATTGACAACTGATTATAATAATCCTTGCATGTGATACAGCGCCTTATTGTGTCTTCGAGACATCTCAAAGCGCTTCATGGAATAGACGGTAAATTGCTGTGGGTGAAACGCGGCGGCCAATTGCGCTGTATCATATGAGGCGCTTTGAGATGTCTCTGTGACCTGATAAGATGCTATATCAAATGCAAGAATTATTATTGTTGGTCAATTAAAGGAACTATAATGACAACACAGTAAAACAATTTGTCCTGTTCTTCAAGTAAACAGTAAGACTCATCAGTTGGTCTACACATTGTGTGTGGGAGAGGGTTCTTTCCAGTGTGTGAGAGAGACGTGAGCATGTGACTCGGTTTTTCGGTCTTATCTGCTGCCAGAGTCAAGAGAATGTGAGGTATGTGTTTTACCATCTCCTGCCAAAATGTCAGAAAGCTACATGTTCAGCCTCAAACATTGGCCTTAGGGTTAGTTGCACTGTGGAGTTTCCCCCCACCCCCCCCCCGCCGATGTTTACTGTCTAACTTGGAAAGAATGTGTGCAGAGTGCGTTTCGCCCAGAAAAAAAACAGTCGCTGCACTTTACAGTATATTCTGTGAAGCGCTTTGAGACGTCTCAAAGACGTGGAAAGGCTCTGTATCTAATGCAAGGATTATTATTATTATTATGTTTATCAGGCTGCTTGGTGCTTCTCGATGAAAAATGGCTTCGTGCCCACCTTCCTTCCCATCATTCGTGGGAGTGCTTTCGGCCATTCTGCCCCCACGCTCTGGAACTCCAGCCAGAACTCCTTCTGACTTAGTCTCTCCATCCCCTCTTTCAAGACATGCCTCAAAATGTACTATCTTTCTCCTCCACACTCCCCTCAGCTCCCATCCCCCAAGCTTGGTACCTATCCAGCACCGAGAAGATATTAATGGGAGTGGTTTATAGAACCCCAAACAGTGATCACAATATAGCACAGGGTATTAATCAAGAAATCAGTGGAGTGTGTAGGAAAGGTAAAGCGATAATAGTGGGTGATTTCAATCTCCACATAGATTGGGAAAACCGAATCAGCAAAAGTAAGTAAGAAGAAGAGTTCCTTGAGTGTATGAGAGATAACTTTCTAGAGCAGCATGCTCTCTTTGACCGTGCCTTCAGCTCCCCTCTCGACTCTCTACCCCCTCCTCCTAAATTTAAGATTGTTTTACCAGTCTATATGGTCTCCCCTCATTCTTTCTACCAAAATACATTACCTCGCATTTCTCCACATTGAAACTCCTCTGCCATGTGTCGCCCATTTTACCATTCTGTCTATGTCTTCCTGCAGTTGGCTACTGTCCTTCTCACTGGTTACCACCCTACCTAAAAGGTGGACAGGAAAAGATGGGGAATTATAGGCCAGTTAGTCTCACATCAGTGATAGGAAAAAATTTAGAATCATTGATTAAGGATGTGGTAGTGCGGTATTTAGGGCACAATATAATTAGGCCAAGTCAACATGGCTTTACAAAAGGGAAGTCATGTTTGACAAATCTCATAGAGTTTTTTGAGGATATTTCCAGTAAACTCGATAAGGGTAAATCAGTGGATGTGGTCTATTTGGACTTCCAGAAGGCATTCGATAAGGTGCCGCATAAAAGGTTAGTCCAAAAGATAAGGCCCCATGGAAGTGAGTTAGTGTTTCAGGTGGATGACCTTTCAACGAAAGCTTAACTCATTTTCCTCTCACTTCTTGTTTTATTTTGTATTAATGACGATTGTGGTAATGTGCAATACTTACTCCACACACAACTCCTCAACAATATGCGTCATCGCTACAAATTCCGACATGCTGGGAAATATAAATTCCTGGTGGAAAGTATATTTCAACTGAACAATTAATGTTTATTTCTTCCCAGAAATGAATAGCAGAACCAAGGTTGTGGAAACTGGTTACCAAAATAGAATAACAAAAGGAAGTGGGGTAAATGTATAAAACAAATAGAACAAATAATGATGATGTTGTATTTGACACAGTGCCTCAAACTGCTTCACAGTCATTTAAAAATTGAAAGATTAGGAAGTATGAAGTGGATTATAGTGTAGAGGGCAACAACTTGCATTTACACGGCACCCCTCACGCAGGGTAGGGTCCCCGTGCACTAAACAAGTAAACAACAGACTATCCGAGTCCCCAGCTGGAAAGGTTCAGGGGCAAATATACATAAATGGCAGAAGCTTTAAAAATATAATAGCTTGTACTAGACTAAAGCTGCTGGTTGGCACCTAGTAATTAGGATAATAATAATAATAATCCTTGCATTTGATATAGCCCTTTTCACGTCGGGAGGACGTCTCAAAGCGCTTCACAGAACACACTGTAAAGTGAATTGACTATATTTGTGGGCGAACGCGGCAGCCAATTGCGCACAGCAATGTCCCACAAACAGTCGTAGATTGAAAATGACCAATTTATTATTGTTTTTGGTTTTGGAGGGATTATTATTAGGCTCTGTGTGGAGTAAGGAAACTTGCCCAAGGTTTCGCCCTCTGCCTGGAATTGAACTCAGGTCTCTCGCTTGCAAAGCGAGTGCTCTAACTACTGAGCTACAGGACTCCACAAAGGATGCAGGATCACAGAGATGGGATTAAACAAGGAAATAGAAACAACAACTGCAACTTGCATTTTGTATAGCGCCCTTCACACGGGATAGCGTCCCGGAGAGCTTCACGGTGGCGGAGTCTGACAACGAGCCAAGGGGAGGGGTGAGGGGGGCGGGCGGATTGTGAAATTCAATTTATAGAAGAACGGAAGGTCTTGGGGAAAGTGGTAGCGTTCAGCGTTGGGGTCATTACTAATCACATCCATTCAGCACAAAATTAAGGAAATATTTCCGTGAAGGTTTTAACAATGAATCAAAACTCAAATTCCAATACAATTTTGAGGAAATGACCTTGAAGGATGTCAATCCGCGCTCTGGGGAACACTGCATATTTAACAGTATTACTTATCTTTATGTTAAAGCTGTTTCCACATAAAGCATTTAGATTCTGCTTGATTAATTATCAAACAACAGCAGATCAGAGTATATGCATAGGCTCAAAATCTGAAATAAAATCTGGTGATTAATAAGCGCACAACTGATTTCCCTATGGCTTGCCACTTGTGTTTCCTCTGCCACTTCCTCTCTCTTTGTCTCTCTTGAACTTTCTACCTTTAGTCTCTTCTGTTTCCCCAACAGCACTCAGTTCAGCAATCAGGGGCAATATCTCAAAGTATCTCGGTTTACACACTATCTCCAAAGTACAGTAATCCTTGCATTTCATACAGCGCCTTATTATATCGTCATGGTAATAATTATCTGGTCAAAATAATAATTATGTGGTCAAGATAATAATAATAATATGTCTCAAGCGTTTTCAGAATATACTGTAAAATGGTGTAACTGCTTGTATTTTGTGGGTGAATGCAGCAACAACAACAACAGCAACAAAATTCCATTTATTGAGCGCCTTTCACGTCGGGAGGACGTCCCAAGGCACTGTACAGTTGGGTCAGGA